GCCCCCTGCCTATCGCCTGTATCCCCGGCCCCCTGCCTATCACCTGTATCCCTGGCCCCCTGCCTATCACCTGTATCCCCTGCCTATCACCTGTATCCCTGGCCCCCTGCGTATCGTCTGTATCCCATGCCCCAATGTATCAGCTATATCTCATGCCTGGTTTGTCTGTACTGAGGATCTACTCTGACCCGGTTGCCCCCTGCTCCTGTTTCCATGGTAGCGGAGCATGTGGCAGCAGGGCTGGGCCTTGAAGGCTACGTACTGGGCCGCCTCCACACACCGGCAGAGCTGACAGAGGTCCGCACAGCACCTCGACGACTGACTGAGCATATCTGCTGGGCTGAAAGCCTGGCCTTCCCCCTGCCTGGCGGCTACAAGACGGAGGGTGAAGTGGCTTTGTCCCTGCGCAGTTTGGACTGCTTCTCCCAGGATGTGGACCTGGGGGACATGAGGTTCAAGTTGGCTGATGTGGCTATGATGTCAGACGCCGACTGCTGGGTCGAACTACAGCCCCCGAAACAGGTGCCGCTTCTGCTGAATACTCATGAGGGACCATGCCAGCTGAAGAGTGCACTTAGAATAAGCTGTGACAATAAGCAGAGCCACAGGCAGCTCAATGTCTTTGTGCTATTGATTGGTGTGTGATTTATACAATGTTGTCTGTCTTCTTGCCACATCCTCCTGAACAGGTTTCTGCCAAATGGAGTCAGAGTCTCTTAAAGAAACTTCAGCTTGGAAATTAAATTGTATTTATATCTCTGTAGAGGAAGAGAAAAATGTTATTCAATAAACAACTACAACTGTCCTGTGGATAGAAATGATAATAAACCAGCTTCAGAGTCTGGGAAAAGTAGTTTTAAAATAGCAAAATAAACAGGGAAAGCTGGGTGTTGAGGCTGAGGCTATTCAGAATGCACCCAGAATGCATCTGTCCCTGTTTCAGCCTCCTAGTCAGGATGACCAGATCCTTTGAGAGAACATGAAGCCTTAATGAAAGAACAAATCAATTTGGCTTAACACAGCAGTAGACTGGAGATGCTTAATGAGCTATGCAATAATTAAACTGTTAATAATGCTTTGAGGACACATGGGTTTCAGGCCAGGCTATTGTTTCTTAATTGCTTGAGCAGCATGATGCTGAAGAATGATCCAATGAGAGAAGATTAAGGAGCAGAGGGAACCTCCAATGGCTGACATAGACAGCTGCTTTGGGTGTCAACATCTGAGTGGGCACCAACTCTACAGCCAATTTCAGTTTGCCTCAGATGGGTTCTGCTGGGAGTGATGCTCACCTAGGGTGTCACATTGGCTAGGATCGGTACTGCTGGAAGTCTCTTGAGTCAGGCCTCTGCATGTGAAGATTGATAGCAAGCAGAAACGAGACCATGTCATGCTGACAAACAGCTGACAGCTGGCTTGTCAGTAAACATGTGTACTAGGGCTATTAAAATCACAGTCTGAGCCTCTGTGTCCAATCAGAATCATTAATCATTAAACTACCGAGGAGAACTGAAAGCAAGGCCTGGATTTGGAATGAAAGTCCGTATATGAAGAACCCTGTATACCAGGGTTCTTCAAATCTGGACCTCGATTCCAAATCCAGGCCTTATTTTCAGTTCTCCCAGGTAGTTAGTTTAATAGTTACTGATTCTGATTAGTCAGAGGCTTCACACCTGACTGACAGGTAAAGGAAGGCTGGAAAATCAGCAGTGCTCGGCGCTTGAGGGCCATGATTTTAATAACCCTGCTGTATACATTTAAATATCAGCCCTTATAAATGGTAGTAAATTATTAATTAAAATAAAAACTGTTATAACTTGTTTATAATTGTTACAACCTAATAAATCACCTGATAATAAAGCATTCATAAACCATTTATAAGGGTGCTATTATTGTTAATTAGTAGTCAAATATCTTCATCTAGCCTTTAGTTTGAGTTTTTGATTATGAGCGCAATGCTGAGTTTATATATAATCCTGACAACCTCTGAGAGCCACTGTCAGTGTCGTGACCGATGAAATTCGGAGCAGAGAATCAGGGTTGGGAAGCTGGAAAGTCAGGATCGAGGGATCTATTCAGGGAAAACAGCAAGACCAGGTACAATACGGTAGACAACGTCAATGACCGGACTGGGGAAACAGACTTGACTGTGGACATAAATACACAGGACTAAATGGAAATGACAGGAAACAGCTGATAACAAGTGGGATTCCACACGAGGTTAACAAGGGGGTGTGGCACACAGGAGGATCGGACGAGCAGGGCATGACAGTCAGAATAACCCTGCTGTCTGTGTTTCTGTGTATCTGTCTCGCTATATCAGGCAGATTCCTGCCTTTTGCTTCCTGTTTTAGACAAAGACAGCATGAATTGTTTGATATGCAGCACTTGTTTCTTGGTGTCATCACTCCGTGCATCGCATCTGAGTTTCTGACTTTACTGTATGAAAAAAAGACGAGTTGGTCTGACGTGTGTGCAGTGCTTTTCCTGCGCCCCCCTGGATGCCTTTGAGCCAATAGCAATGCGCCAGAGCCTCGTTATATGTGTAGGCAGGGAGATCAGAACATAAGGTTGGGATCTCATCACAGGCTCAGGAGAGGCACCAGTGATGTGGAATAAGGGCACAAAAAGCCTTGGAAGGAGTGAGAATAGGATTCAGGACTTAACTGGAGGGTAGGGATGTGGCAGAGCAGAGTTGTGGAGCAGAGGTGTGGGGCAGAGGGTGGGGGGAGGGCTCAGAAAACAGAGGCAGTACAAAGGAGCAATAAGGAAGGCATGATGAAGGGTGCAGAGGGGGGCACTGCAGGTGAAGGCATGGTGCAGAGGAATGATGAGCACAGAGATAGGGGGGGGCTGCCACGAGTGTGACAGGGAGATGCAGTCTGGAGATGGTTACTCATAAATGCAATGAAGGTCCTCAATAGGATGGGGAAAGCACAGGTGTGGACATTACTGATTCCTGCAACATCTATTATAGCAAGCCTGGATCTATCTATATCCATCTAATCATCGTCTGTCAGTCCATCCATCCAATTCTAATCTAATACATATATAAATACTAATGTGTAATAGTACCCTGGAGAAGGTAGTGGAAGGGAGAGGTGTGTTTTTTTTTCTTAATGAAAGTAAGACCCAACTAGCAGAGGCATTTCTAAAGAGGGAAGTGCTATAATCTGTCTGTGCCACTCGGTTCTGGTGAGGAGCACTTAGATTGATCTGGGCATTCGCATGTTGGATCACCAGCATAATGATGAGTGATGGGCTCTCATTGTGACACATCACATTGTCCTTTCCATTGATACATGGAACCAGCATGTCTGTGTTTAACTTAATCTAGAACATTAGGAAATTTGACATTTTACACATTTGCTTTGTTTGATTCTTACTGTTGTTCATTGTCAAATTTGAGTGATTAAATGATAATTTATAGTTTACAGATTTGATAAGATATATTTTAAGATATCTGGCCCACGCCATACAGTATGATTTGTGTTTGCCTTTAAATTTTATAAATTACATTTTTTCTTGGTTGCTTTCATGCAATTTCCTCATCAGAAACGCCATTCTCACCACTCAATGCATTTTTCCTAACACTAAATCACCTTTGCGGAAGTACTAAAACAATCAAAACGTTGTGCACGTGTGTCAGAGCATACAACATCAGTCAATAAATGAATAAAATACTTTCACCAGTGCATCAAGACTTAGTCAGCGAATCTTTTAATTAAATTCTTACTCAAGTCTAATGTAGAGAAACAAACTGAATAAAATGTAATGTCAAACATTTGTAAATTTACAGATAATTACTGTAACAGCATAGAACCAAGTAACAGAAAATATACACAAAAATATGGAATTCAACATTGTACATTTACTGTAGTACATTATGCTACAGTATGTAGCACATTTATATAGATATGTATAGATGGATAAACCTGCATCAAATTACTGTCTTACATACCTCCTGGTTTAGACCCTGAAGGTTGCCGAGGGTTGTGTTGGTGTTGCCAGTGTTCCCAGAAGGAGGTGTTTCATCTCACAGGGTACCCTGGATATTATCGAGAGGAGTCACAGCACACGACTTGGTGGCAACTCCAGTCTGGGAACTGAGAAGGACGGCTGTGAGGGTTCTAAGGGCAGATAAGGAGGTGTTTGTTAGACAAATCTGTGAGCAGGTGACACACCATCTGTGGTCTAGTGACCCTCGTCCTGCTTACAGAGGAATTGATGTATTACGCACATCTGAATCTGTTCTTCGGAGACTTGCAGTCAAGGCGAGTGAGGGAACGGTCCTTACGGATGACACTGCAGTTGTGACCCGCTGGGCCGGTTACTTTGAGTGGTTGTTTAAAGCTGACCCTCTGGCTAGGATGGGTCAGTTAGGGGTAGGGAAGGCCGCAGGGATCTGTGGTATCCGGGGTGAACTTCTCCAGGCTGGTGGTAAGGCTGTCCTCCTGGCACTGCAGGCAATCTTTGCTTCCATTTGGGAGTCAGGCATCATCCTAACTGACTGGAAAATGGGACTTGTGGTCCCTATCTGGAAAGGGAAGGGTGATCGCCTGGATTGTGGCAACTATAGGGGGATAACACTGCTTTCAGTGCTGTGAACACTTGCTTGTCTGTCAGCGACCGGAGCAGTCTGGTTTTACGGGTAAGAAATCTACCATCGATCGTATCCTTGCACTGAGGGTTCTCATCGAGCGCAAGTGCGAATATCGGCAGAGGTTCTTTGCAGCCTTTGTCGATTTTCGTAAAGCGCTCGACTCAATTGATTGACTTGCCCTGTGGGTCATCCTGAGACTAAGCATGATCCCCCTAAAGTTGCTGGATGTCATGGCCAGCCTGTACACTGGTACTGTGAGAGCTGTGCAGAGTGGAGGGGGAACCTCTCCCAGTTGTGTTCTTCCCAGTTGATTCAAACCAACTGGGCGCCGCTACGGGTGGCTGCCCTTCGCGGACAGCTTGCTCTACAAAGAGCAAGTTGAGGGAGGCGTAAAAACAATTTCCCCACGGGGATCAATAAAGTATCAATTATTATTATTATTATTATTATTCTGGGGTTCGCCAGGGGTGTGTTCTTGCTCCTACTCTGTTCAATGCTTGTATGGACTGGGTGTTAGGCAGGGAAATGGAGTCCAGCAGCTGTGGGGCGTCCGTTGGTGAAGAAAGATTTACTGATCTTGACTTGACTTGATCTTAGTGTAGTCAATGGAGGCTCTAATCGGGGCTCTTGAGAGACAGTATCTGGCAGGTGTCCTGGTTAAAGACCAAGATCCAGGCATTTAATGACTTCTTAGGCACAGCCATCAGTAGTGTGTCTGTCTGTGGGGAGAATGTCAATTTTGTTGAGAGATTTACCTACCTCAGCAACGGCATTCATGTCTCTGGTGACTCTTCCTATGAAGTCAATAGACGGATTGGAAGAGCATGGGGGGTCATGAGGTTGCTGGAAAGGGGTGTGTGGCGTTCCCGATATCTTTGCAAGAGGACGAAGGTCCCTGTCTTTAGAGTCCTGGTCTTTAGAGTCTTGCTATAAGGCTGTGAGACTGGACTAATTCGGTATTGTGTCTCTTCAGAGAATCCTTGGGTACCGCTGGTTTGACTTTAGTACCGAATGAGCAGTTGTTGGAGTCCAGAATGAGGCACATTACCTGCATTGTAAGGGAGTGTCAGTTACGGCACTATGGCCATGTGGTGCGTTTCCCTGAGGGTGATCCGGCTCGCAGGATCCTCATTACTGATGACCCAAGCGGCTGGACCAGACCAAGGGGATGCCCACGTAACACCTGGCTGCGGCAGTTGGATGGCCATTTCCGGAGGGTGGGACTAGACCGTGTATCTGCCTGGGGGATTGCTGGTCGAGATCCCAAGGAGTTTTGCTGTGTAGTGGGTTCGGCAACATGCTGCACCACCGCATGCTCCCCAACCTGACCTGACCTGACCTGACACTGTAGCTGTTCCTCATCTGTGGGGATTCAGTGACTGGAGTCAAAGTGGATTTCTGACAACTAAGAGAGAGACACAATGGTTCAAACATTCCATGTGATGTTTTACCTGGAGATGCACCTTTTTTGAGTAACTCATCAGTATGAAACCTGTATATTCTGTGGGTTTGGACCTGGGTATGAATGTGAAGGGTTATTATGCAGAAGGTTACGTGTGAATGTAGCTTATATTTATCTTCACAGAACACAAGCTCCTCCGTGGGGGAGATCCTGTTATCCATCAGTTACCTCCCCGCAGCCAACCGCCTGGGTGTGGTGGTCATGAAGGCCAGGGATCTGCAGTCACACAAACTGAAGGACATCATTGGTACGCCCCAGTTTATCCTTACTTCTCTGTATACTGTGCACTTTCAGCCAGTAGTGTTTGATATATATTCATGCGTTTTATATACTCACCATGACCATGCTTTGGATTAATGGATGGATGTTCTTATGTGTTTATGCTTTTTGTGGTAAAAACCCAGCTCCTCTATCCCCAGACTTATCAGTGAAACTGACCTTGAAGCACCAGACCACCAAGCTAAAGAAGAAGCAGACACGGCAGGTGAAGCACAAGATGAACCCAGTCTGGAATGAGATGATGATGCTGGAGGTCCCCCTTGAGCTACTGGCCAAATCCAGTGTGGAGCTGGAAGTTCTCAATCAAGTGAGCCCGGGGACCCTGGACACCCTTGGCCACTGCCAGCTGGGCTTGCAGGCCCACAACACTGGTCTTCAGCACTGGCAGCAGATGCTTGAGAACCCTCGCAAGCAGTTAGCCATGTGGCACCCCCTCCACGTTTGAGGTCCCGGCCCAGGCTGATTCCCTCCACTTTTCCTGACCACCAAAACCAACAGAATCGGGTGCTCTCCCTTCACATTCAGTCTGACTCTCTTCAGTTAGTTGGATTTTATGGATTAATGCTCTGCACAGAAATAATTATTTGCTATTGATGGATAGAGATGCCAAATTTAACAAATTTAACATGTCTTGGCCCGATAGCAGCCTGTTCAGGGTGTCCCTTCCCTGCTCTGTATCTTCTGCCAGGGAACCTAGGCTCAATGTGAGCCTGTGCTGGATGTATGGCTGGATATGCTGGTCCCAGTCACTCTCCATTGAGAGTAAATGGAAAGTGTTACAGTTACAGTGTAGCCAAAAATGATTGGTATAATGTGAAAAATGGTCAAAAATGGAAATGATATTGAAGAACAAATTTTAAACAATTATGCGTGTTAAGGAAAGAAACAAGAAAAACTTTTATCCAAAACATATTCTGGAATTGTTCTGGAATTCCAATTCTGGAATTGGCCATTCATAGAGTTGAATGAATATGTTACAATGGGAATGTTACAAAGTTCCCAGTCATAAAAGAGATCATTTAACACAACCCATAACAGCAGGTGTTCCAAATAGGCAGGTAATTGGGTGCCCTTAGTTTCTACAAGTAGCCCTGGTGGTCATTTGTAGGGTTAGTTGAGTTTCCCAAAATGGTCTAACAGGTTTACTAGTTTTGCATTTTGGTAGCATAAAGTGATACCTGGACCCTACAGAGGTTGCAGAGGTAGTGCAAGGATCCTCCCCTAGGATGGCGCAGCTATACATGGGGTGGTAGATGTTATCCAACAGGGATGACAGCTTAGCCACCATTCTCCTGTCACTCACACCCTCCACCGGGTCCAGAGGGCATCCTAGAACAGAGCTGGCCCTCCAGATCAGCCTGCTCAGTCTCTTTCTGTCCCCAGCAGAGATGCTGCTGCCCCAGCAGACCACACCATAAAATATTGGCATGTGTCATAGAATACCTCGAATTGGCAAGTCCGCCACTGACGCCCTGTGCTTTTCACAGATGAGAGCAGGTTCATCCTGAGCACATGTGACAGACGTGAAAGGGTCTGGAGAAGCCGTGGAGAATGCTATGCTGCCTATAACATTGTTCAGCATGACTGGTTTGGTGGTGGGTCAGTGATGGTCTGGGGTGGCATACCCATGGAGGGATGCACAGACCTCTACAGGCTAGACAATGGCATCTTGACTGCCATTAGGTATTGCCATTGGGATGATGGGATCCTTAGACCCATTGTCAGAACTTACGCTAATGCAGTGGGATTTTCGGGGATTCTTTGAGGTCAGCCCTGTAGATTGATAATTTTAATTTCCATCAAACAAAGTGGCATCCGTTTGTTCCTAACATGTTACCCAGTCCATATTAGGATTGTATAGCTATCGAGCATCATTTCTTTCCCAGTGAGATCTAATGTGTTTAATTTTTTTGAGCAGTGTATATTTAATATGGGGTAAAAAAGGACAAGCAGAATAAACTGAGATGTAAACTCTTTATATCTCACTTCATAATGGTTTATAAGCCTATATGAAATTCTGCCTCTGCAGTCAATGTGCTCTACATTAGAAAAGAATGTGCGTTTGAAAGCGACATAATGATGACGTGTTTCTGAGTGATACCAATCATTTAATTTACTACTGAATATTCCATTTGATAAATTCAGTATTTACTGATAACATTCAGTTTCCATTTCTCCATTACAACAGAGTTTTTGTCTAACTCCTAATTGGTGAAAAAAATGGGTATTTTTTGCCTGTTTACCCATTGTGGACGTGCAACGTCAGCTGACAGGAAACCATCATGCTTATGAAAAAATATGCAGATCTTGATACCAGGAGCATCTCTTAGTGCAAAACAATTAGCTTAATTCCATTCGCTATGAAAAAATATATATTTGGACAAATATCCACATTCAATGCACAACTACCATACTATGTCATATCTATCAAGGAGTCAGAGTATGTGATGTGATCCTATTTTGAATTAATACTGTTATACGGCAGCTACAGTTTTACAAACTATTATTCAAATGTGTAGCTTGTGATAGCTGCCAGAAAGGCTGGTTTACTGGTAAACTGTGAGCATGTAGGTCTCATGCTGAAAATATACAGTGTTATTGCAAACCTTCAAAACTCACCGCCAATTCTAAGCTCATATCTATGACAATATATGTGTGGATTTTATTATGATAGGGTACCATGGGATCTGTATTTGTTCCTTTCAAAATAGGTTGTGACTGACAGATGGTGTTAGAATGATGTCTGCAGAGGTGTCTGCGGCACAGATCCTTCCTTACTGAGTGAAGAAGCTTCTCAGGAGGTTTTTTTCTAAAAAGCCAGCCAGTGTAATTCTCTGACAAACAGCAGGAAAATCCTTTATGGACCTTTGTATTGACAGAGATGGAAGTGAGTCTTGTGGAAAAGCAGAGTATTACTGTATAACATTGCAAGTGTTTGACAATGCATCATTTTCGAGTAAACTCTGTTTAGCATAAACCAATAAGTCATTAAATGTAGGCCAAAGCTCATTGTAAGTGTTTTCATCTGGAATGTATGACAATTAAAAATCAAAATTAAGCACCATGGGTGTCTGGTGATTTGTGGACTGTCATTCTATTTGCATGCCCTGATTGGACCAAGTGCCTTTGACCTTTGTTTATACAGTATGTCCCTATTGATAAGGAGAGGGACCAGCCATTAGCAAGGCAAAGCTAAGTCAATCCAGTTAATGTACAGTGTCACTCTGGGGTTTAAGTCAATCCAGTTAATTTACAGTGTCACTCCAGAGGTAAATCAATCCAGTTCATTTACAGTGTCACTCCAGAGGTAATTAAGTCAATCCAGTTCATTTACAGTGTCACTCCAGAGGTAAGTCAATCCAGTTAATTTACAGTGTCACTCCAGAGGTAAGTCAATCCAGTTAATTTACAGTGTCACTCCAGAGGTAAGTCAATCCAGTTAATTTACAGTGTCACTCCAGAGGTAAGTCAATCCAGTTAATGTACAGGGTCATTCTGGGATTTAAGTCAATCCAGATAATGTACAGCAGGGGTGTCAAACTCAATCGCGCAGGGGGCCAAAACTCAAAGCACACTTTAGGTCGCGGGCCGAACAGGATAAATTATATTTATTGAACAGACTAAAACTAAACGTTTTTTGAACATAAATATTGTAGCGCAGAGGTATCAGCGGGCAGCGAAGCATGTTGGACTGATGCCAGATGGTAAATAGTTCTCAGTAATCCCACGTGCTGTTATAAATGTGCTGTGTGGTAGTTAATGTTCATCGTGTACGTAGTGTGTGTGTGTGTGTGTGTATGTGTGCATGTGCCCACTGTGTTTGTTAGGAGTAAGTGGGGCGATGAGCACGGTGGGCAGTGCGGGTGTGTGTAGTCTGCGTGGTACGGGTGTAATAAACGCCATCTGGTGATTGAACCCTGAACATCTCTGCTGTATCATTATTGAGAGCATGGCTCAGTGACCCACTATTACAATATGAATTCCATATTCCAAAATCAATAAACTTAAAATATTTTGCCTAAAAATATCTCCTCTGAAAATTATACAAATTCAAAATATGAATATGCTGCAAAAAACCTGAAAATATAAATAAAAATTGTGCTTTTAAATGAAAGTTAAAATAATAACAAATCAAAACATTCCATTTTCTTTGCTCTTATGTCATTCTGTCAGAGCTGGATGCTTGGCATCTTTTCTTGGCAACAAGTTTGTTTATGTTTGGGGTTAGGTTCTGTGTCGTGGAGATTCTCTCTCAGCCACATTAGCTCCACAAACAAGACACACGGGTTTACCGGCAATGTCAGTATGCATATACTCAGCCTCCCACCAGTTTTGAAAGGCTCTGCTTTCAGAATCAACTTTTCTCTTGGCCATTGTTAGGTGATAGCTTTGACTTTAAATTAGGGTTGTGTACATCAACAGATGCTTGATTGATCTGATGTAATTGAAGCGGGAATGATCGCAGGTAGCCTATCATAATATAATTGTGCTGCATTATGGGATTTGTAGTTTGTGTGTTATCAGCCCGTCACATCACTGGGCCATTAAAGAAAAGATATATAAGATGATCTTGCGTGCCGGGTATAATTGTACGCCGGGTCAGATGTGGCCCGCGGCGTTGAGTTTGAGACATGTGATGTACAGAGTCACTTCACGGTTAAGTCTATCCAGTTAATGTACAGTGTCACTCCGGGGTTAAGCCAATCAAGTTAATGTATAGTGTGACTCCAAGGTTAAGTCAATACAGTTAGCATACAGTGTCACTCCAGGGTTAAGTCGGTGCAATTAATGTACAGTGTCTCTCTGGAGTCAAGTCAATCCAGTAAGATAAGTGAATACTCATTTCTGGGGCTATAATTCTACTTTTGCAATAAATTAGATGTCTCAGAGGTTTCATAAAACACATCAGTGCAGGGAGTATTTCCCACTAAATTTGAAGTGTAGTATGTTTGATGTAGGATGTTTGACTTACGACTTAGAAATAATGTAGGCCATTGGCACTTGACCATTAATGTTTTAATTATGCAGGAACAGAAAAGAGAGAATAGTTCAACAAGATAATGGCTTGGCAAACAACCAAATTGCATCTAAATTCTTTGATTACTTCGGCATCTGAGATCATCCATCCATCCATCCATCCATCCATCTAATGGCTTATACTCTTCATGGTTGTGGGGTGTTAATTAAAAGGTTTCAGGTATCCTTTGCTATTGCTATTGTTGGAATGAAGGAAATTCATCTGCTAAGGAAATCTATAAAAGAGGGAAGAGGCTACCAGCTCTCTGTGCCCGAGTTTCTCTGAATAGCAGCAATGACTCCAGCTTAGCACAATTTTTATTTTCCTCCGTCTTCATGTACTAAAGTCATTGTGCCAGAACTTTACAAAGACGCCATGTCACAGAGCCCACCATTTAGTTGAGTAGCCATCAGTGATGTCTGATATATAGATATAAATGATATCTGACACTGTTTAAGTCTGTGTGCTCTAGCTGGGATTATAGGCCAGAAATGGCAGCGAGACGCTGATGGTTATGAAAGAGAGCAAATATATGAGCAGCAAACACAAACAGGAAGGAGCTGTAAGACCTATACAGACACCAAACCACAGATGGACCTTAGCTGTGCAATACATCTTACCTGTCAGCACATAATAGAAAACGTCTTGGTCTCTAGTAGGTGTGTTTACAGAACCTCACAGCAAATTGGAGCCAACCTTTTATAATTATTTTATACTTTATAATTATCTGGAATATGGATCAGATGAACAGAATGAATTTGAGCTAATTTGACCTCACCCCCCCCCCCCCAGGATACAAAAACAAAAGAGAAAACGTATAATACAAAACGTATCAAGTTTTATTAATACTTGTTTGATAGAGATAACGTAACACTGTAACTTTGAGTAGGTTTATGTATCATACATGTGTTTGTTTATATCTTATATATAGCTTAATATTTCTCCAGTGTTAAATATTTTTGTATTTCAAACAGGTACTATTGAAATGTAGCATAGAAATTTGTGTACATATTTTCAATATCCCACATACTCCCTCTACAAAACAAGAAAATAAGTGCAGAAAAAAGTTTGAACCATTCACAGCTAAAAAGTTCCTTACAGACATGCCAAGTCAGGCCCAGTCAACATTAAAACGAACATAATTATTTTCATATGTCATTGTACAATAACCAATACAACTTATGCATTTATGATATTATCTCTATTTTGTCAGTAAAAGTGCCTCCATTTTGGAATATATGTTTGGTTCGAGAAGCTCACTTCTTAAAAGGTATCAAATAAGAAAGTTAAAGCGAATTCAAGAAGAGGAGGTTGATGAAGTTTAGCACTGAATTGCAATTTCATCCATTATCTTTTTCTTTAGCAACTTAGGTGTAATACAGGGTCACAGACAGGATAAACTTGCAAAATGGCCTTGACAATTTTCACAGAGGAGTAAGACAGGGTAAAAACACTGTAACAAAACCAATAAACTATAAATGCATCTACAATATAGACATTACAAGCAGATATATACCACTTAACATAGACAAAACCTGGTTACAACAGAAAGAATACTTATTGACATTAGCATTCAAAATGACAAAGCTTGGAGTAACTTGTGCACTTGATAAAATTCGATTAAGAGTATATTTTCATTACACTAAAATAAAAAATGAAACAGTCCCAACAAAACCAAATATACCATTGATTCAAAAGGATTTGTATTCTTTACTGAATAAGCAAAGCAAAGTGACTGAGCATAGCATTTTTTTAGATACTCCCTATAAAAAGGTGAGCTTATTCATTGCTAATGCGTACCTCACTGTGAGGTGACTGACTCTTCATCCAAAAACATACTTATTTTTTTCTCCTTGGCCTCTACAAACACCACACCAACCTACTGTATTGTTTTCAGGGACAAAACAACATAGGTTTTGTACGTGCTGAACCTCTTTATTAACCTTTTTTCGTTTTCTATTTTCTTTCTAAATTAACGTATTTATTAAAAATTGACCTTTAAAGAATGCCACCACGTTTAACACGCCATGGTTTAACACGCTTCAGACAAACCTTGCAATTGCCAAAGAAAATGAATGTATTTATTTAGCAAAAACCATCATGGAGAGGAGGAAATGTGAATAAATATGCCTTTGGATGGTATCTAGAGAATACATTTCATCATTTAGCTTTAAATCTTGGCATAAAAAGCTTGACATTTAATGACTTGTCCCTGCTACTAAATATCAAACATTTATTTCCCATGCACACACAATATTTATTATAAAAATTGTCATTAAAATCTCTAGAGGCAGGTACAGCATACGTGTTTTTCTCCATGTACGCATGTACAATACACTTTACTAAATATTTCTTGGCTATACTTATCAGATCAACTCTTCTCAGTTCTATCGTAACATTACAGTGAATCCAGCCACTGGCAAATAAAATTGTTTGCTTGGAGATTCCCACTGAACCCCGCATGCATACATACATACGTAGCTCATACAGAGGCTCAATTACAGACTTGGAAGCTGACTGCATCGCTGCATGTTTAAGTGCATTCTCAAAGTTAGACCAATTCTCAAAAATCCCTACTTAATTAAATTAGAAGTATAAAAAAAGACTATAGGAGGATTCTGGGCTTGACAAACCACAAACTATTATCTCAGCCATGCAGAAATAACATAGAAGCATTCTTGGTCACAGCTTAAAAGTTAATGACCATACAGAGTATGACAAAACTTTAGGGAAGATACCCTACAAAAAGTTATGCCGATTAAGCAAAGTTAGCTTTATCTGCAAAGTGAATATGCATGAGCTGATTTTTTTTTCTCTCTCAAAACAGCCTCCCAACACCCAATTTAGGTTACGAGTAATGAAATGCTAACATTTTATCAGTTCTTTGAAAACAGGGCCTCTCATATAATACCACATGGAGCTGTCATTAGGGCTGCTCCCCACCCTCTGCCTAGATAATAATAGGCTAAAAGATAAGTTATTTCATTTTTTTCATAGATTGTATGCAGCTACATTTTATCTGAATGTGTAATTTTGACTTAATATTAGGGTTGTAACGGTACATGCATTCATCATGTACAGTTTGTTACATCATTTTCTGCACAATAAACGGAATGAATACACTTATTGACATGGGCAGAACCAGACTCACAAGTACAGTACATGTTCCACAACATTATGATAATAGTGGCTGTGAGTTGGTTATTGCTAATGCTGGGAACATTTGGGAACATTTGGGTTTCCCTAGAGAGACCATATTATCCATGTCAGGGAGGACACTTTGAGCTACTTCAGGTTTTACAAACTACTTTAAAAATGAAAGGTCCCTATACATGGCTAAATAGTTCAGTCCTTCTTGTGCTCTAACTAGTTTGTTTTCTTGATTTATAGAGTCATCGATTTGTTTCACATTAAGTAACATTTTAGTGACACATGCAAGACTATTGGAGACTGACTAATCTACACACAGCAGGAACTCAGTGCTTAAGTGAAATCCTTTTAATTGAAATGGTAGTTTATTAATTCTATCCTACCTCAAAGTGTCCTCATTGACATGCATTATCGCTGCAGTGCTCTTTGCAGTTTCTGGAGCTCTACCATCCAGCAGAGCATAGCTGGCTCTAATAATATAATACTTCTGATGGGTCTGAATATCTGTAGCAGGTGTGTTAAATTAGGGCTGCACCTAAGCTCTGCTGGGTGGTAGATGGATTACGCGGTCACCCTAGGTTTCCCAATCAATTTCAGCAACTCCAGAGTGAAAGTAGTTGATAAGACGAAGGGGGTGTCCCACAAAGCAAGATTTCTCTGTTAGCTGGGTTAACTTAAGCTAGAAATCATGATTGTCCAATAGGATTAGTCCATACTTAAACTCATGTTGGACAATCATGACTTCTAGCTTAAGTTAACCTAGCTAACAGAGAAATCTTGCTTTGCGGACCCTTACACTCAAGACTGTCTGTTGGTTTTGTTATCCCAAACTCGGATGTGTTGCTGGAAACACAAGCAAACATGCTCATCTAACTCATCTAAGACGACATCATCTAGTGTACATGTATGACCGGAGCAAGTGAGTCTTCCTGTGGCACTTATGCACTTTTTTGAGGAAATTCTGACTTTGCTGATAAACAGCTGTAAGGTATTTATCACTACAGATATGTGGCCATACTCTGTAGTAGAGAACGTGTGATTTAGTTCCTTATGGTTATGATATTATAGTTTTTTAAATTTTTATTTTAAAATATTTGTTTTTCCGAAGTGAAAATAAGCATCTTTTTTGTTATAGACATGTTGACAGGCACATTGCCTTCGGATTGCAGCTGTTCCTAATTGTGTGTTGTGTGCAATTTTTATAATAAATAATTTCAAAACAAATTCTGTTTTCTGCACCAAAACTGCACAAAAACGTGAACGTTTGTACTGAACTGTGAATTCTGTGCACCGTTACATCCCTCCTAAACACACACTGTATCCTTGTAATCTCAATCCTATCTTAGTTGCAGTCTGTATTACAACGACCAAGGAATAGCAGGCACAATAATTTCCATTACTTGGCTCATGTTGGTCTCAGCTGTGGCCTGATATCACACCACCAAATATAATGGGAAGACGGTGTGTAAACTAAATGGAATGGTGAGCAAAACTGATCACATACGAAAAAAAGTATTTTTATCCAGCATATCAGTGAGAGGAAATCTTTCTATAAATATTACATTGGAAGGTGATTATCAGATTGAGCCTATCGACTGTTATACAAGTAATTGCTTACCATTAAGAGTACTATCACGATATCGAAGGCTTATCAAAAACAAATGTAAAGCAAATTATATATATATACTATATTGTATATATTATATAATATATTGTATATATGTTATATATACAATAAGAACAGGCTGCATATACACCAATTTTCAGCACAGATTTAACATTCTGAATGAGTTACAGGAACGTGTACAACCCCATATGGCTTTTAAACATTGCTTGAGCATAAACAAATGCAGCATGATTACGAAACTTAAAAATGAGACATTTAACAGTACCACACACCAGATATTACTTTGACAACCACAAGAGACATTCCTTGGTTGATTTATACCTTAATGTGGCACCATATCTTGCTTATTTAGCCACATCTTTTGGTAACAAATACAATTAAAAAAAAACTGTTGTGCCCCGACAGTCGGGACTGTAGCATTTTTTTTCCAGACTGGATAACAATCACTCCTAGTTTGACCAGCCTTACTCAAAGTGCAATTTCTCAAAATGTCTGAGTGTTTCAACATATATAACTCACTAAAAAGTAAATAAGTGTGCAAGTGGTTATGAAGACCATGCTTGACACTGACGTGGCAAATTCATTAGTGCCACATGCCACATCTGTTAAATTGTTATGAGCTTAATCAAACACCTGCTCAATATTGACCAAAAAAGCTTACTTATTGTTTAGGCAGGATGTGAGATCCAACTTTGAAGTGGTCACTTAGTCACTGAAGTACATTTTCATTATATTGGTAGATACTTGGCTGGTTGAGAGTTACAAAACAAGGCTTTGACACCCCCCCCCCTCGCCCCGACCTCAGCTGAGTTTAAATTTACTATCAGCTTTTACTACTGTGATCCATTTTATAAAGGGTGCATCTCATAATTGAATATACAATGTTTTTATATAAAAATCTATATCTTTAAAAATCTGCTCTGAAAAAGTTAAAATACCTTCATTCTTCTACGATTCATAGATAAATGAATTTCCTTTGAGCAGGTATAATATCTGCAGTGTAAATACATAAATAAACATTTATATATCTGAATATTTGTGTTTGTAACTTTTGCATAAACTACACACTAACACAGAACTTTACTAACTGGTTTTCACTCATAACACAAGATAATCATATCTTAGCAGCAACAAAATAATCTTGGGGTCATGTGACACCTCTGTGGGATGGCTTTTTGGACTAAGTGGTTCTATACTTCCAGTCACATGTCTGGATAAAACTCTGTGTTTGTATCTATGCCATGCAGAAGAGACTTCTGGTCAGATGCTGACATCCTGCTCAACATCTCTGTGGACAGTGAGTAGCTGTTCCCCGACTTCTCCTCAAACCAGCTATCCAGTGAGCGCTTGCTGTCAAAATTGGCGATAGGTGGCCCATTGACAGCTAGCAACAGCAGGTCATTCACTTGGTCCAGTGTGAGCCGCGAGCGATTGTTCCTCCTCACCTTCTGCAGAGACACCCTCCCCTTGTCACAGCAGGCCGTAGAGGTAGGCAGGACCCGGACAATCTGCACTATCCGGTTCAGAAGGGGAAAGCGCTGCTTGTATCGGCAGATGTGACCAGCAACCTCCTTGAAGCCATTCATGCTGTAGTAATCTGCCTTGAGGTCCCTCCACTCAACCACTAAGCTGCCCCTCTCATCTGCCTTGTCATAGGCAACCTCTCGGTCTGCTAAAGGGACGGCCTCCAGGTGGTCAAAGATGAGCAAGATCTCTTCCTCACCATAGACTCGAAGGTCATCCCTGTTGCGTGGCCAAGTGGCTAGGTCCAGGACCTGGCAAGCTTTAACAACTAAGCGGCTACGTGCATCGAAGCGCTGAGCTAAGATACCTTGGCTCTTCTGACAGATCTTTTCTCGGATGGACTGGAACTTGGACTCAGCCACTCGCAGGTTCTTCAGGTCAACACCATTGAAGCTCTCCCTGAAGTTCTCCTCAAACTCCTGCAGATATTCCCCCGGGGAGTCCACGAGCCGCCCTATTTCCTGAATGGCCTCCTCAATCTTTGCATCCACCTGGGAGACTAGAAGATATTCCCCTTGAAAAATAAATGCCAGGCGTGAGAGGACAGCTATGATGTCCAGGAGGAAGTAGATGAGTTTGATGGATTGGTAGTCCATAAGGAACTGCAGGAGAGCCAAGGCGATAGCTGCTGCGTCGGCTCTCTGAGTCTGGCTGCTAACCTCCTTAAGGTGCGCCACTACCTCTAGGTAGTCCTTGATAAGGGCATTTAAAACATTAGGCTCTCCAATGATCCAACGGATGGCTCGTATGTCACCAAGAAATTCTGTCTCCTCTGAGAGAGTTGGCGCGGTAGCCCGAAGCTCAGACATCATGCGCGGGGAGTAGCGATAGAAGCTGAGCAGTTGTTTAAGATTGTTCTCTAAATCCTCCAAGCAGGAGAGCTCTTTGCCACTGATGGCATCCAGCACCTCTAGGTGTGGTCGATGGATCATCACTGGCAAACAAAACACCCAAGGGAAGGTCCTTCTCATAGAAATGTAGATGTTTGCTCTCATTCCAGAAGAGATACTGGATCCATCAACACCAAAGCCAATTATCAACATATCCTGCAGCCTCAGGCCTAGCACAGCAAATGCCCGGTCTATAGCCTGGAGATACCCGTCTGCTGTAGAACAGCTGAGACCCTGCACAGAGAGAAACTCTGTAGCAGGAGGACCATCACTAGTGATGAACTGTACATAGACAGCCACTGTGTCTGTCAGCAGGTCATTGTTCTGACCATCCATGATGACACTGAGGAAGGGGGACAGGCGGATCTTCTCGGCTAGGTCTTCCTTCAGTGCCCGGGCGATATGGTGGATAAGGATCTGACAGTCACCCTCATTCATGTACTGATCCACCACCTTGAGTTCGCACTTTTTGAGCAGTTCAGCCAGGGGTCGGAGGTCGGAGAAAGGCCGGCCCTCCAGGGCCAGATGGTAAGCAGCATTGAAGAGCAGCGTCATGTTTCTGCACATTTCCTCAGTCTTCTCTGGGTGCATGCGCAGCTTGTACAGCTGCAGACACTTCTTGTGCAGGTTGCTCTGGCTATGCAGCTTTATGGTATGAATCTTGAACTGCTTGGAGCCAATAATGAAGGCTGAGGTGCGGGACGACTGGACAGTGTACTGGCGACAGACGTGACACCACATTTCGTTGAGTGTGGGCGAGTAGCGCAGGAACCAGAATTTCTTCAGCCACTCCTGCTTGAAACGGCGTATCCGTCTGCCTGGCCCGGCCATCAGCTTGGAGGACTCTTCTGCGGTCGCCATGAGATCGGCAGTGATGGACTCATCAGCAGAATCCATATCTTGGTCATCATCATCTAGTGTTACTGGGATCGGGGTCATGGCTTCTGCCACTAGATAAGAAAAGAACATAAAGACCGTTTCAGTGCTAGCATGCCAGTGCTAACAAACACAAACATTTGCAGAAGGAAAGCAATTTGCCGAGGCTCAATTAGCATTCATTTGCATCCATAAATCAACAAAACTCTTATTTCTGTAATTGTTTTGATTTTTCTTTCTTTTTTGAATGAATGGGAAAACATGGCCTAACTTAAGTAATGCTTCTGAGTAAACTGTCCCCAGTTTGCATCTCAGATCTGAGACAAAACACTAATTTACATATTTGACACAAAGACAGTAAGTTTGAGTTTCAAATATTAAAAGGGTTGTTTTCTGCTAAGGAGAAAGTTTCTGACAATTAAAGTTTATCTTAACAAAAAAATTCAGAATAACGACATTCTAAGTGGTCGCAGATTATTAGTGCTGAGTTTCAATTGAGTAAAAGCATTAGTAGCACATTGGGATAAATGTTTTTTGAATAAGTGAAATATTTAAAAATGTCAGGGCTTGGCAGACTACCTTGAAAGTGGGTGAGAGGCCTCAGACTCCAGAGAGTTAAGAGAATTCTTAAAGTTTACCCCCAAACTGACTGGCATGTACATTATGGTGGACAGGGAGATGGCAAACATCTTTTTATTATTTTAGATTTGAATCAGTTCATGTCGGCCATAACCAAAGCAACAATTTAACACCTCCTTAATGTTGACGAGCGGCTAAATAAATACCAAACACAGTTTTTCAGTGCTTTAATGCATACTGACAGTAGTTAGTAACATTAGCGTGCAGTTCAAATGGAAATACAGAAGATCAGAGACACAAACTCCCAGCAGGCGCAAACCAATCAAAACCTTGAGTAGACGCACTACGTCTGAAGCATGGGGCCATATAAACAGTGATGATTGGAGGAGCATCGTTCCAGGGTGCACCAAGGAGCCTATAAGCCACAACTCCACTGTTTCATGTCCTGAAGCTAAATCCCGACAATTCTACCATTTCCATTACTTGTCCATTAAAAAGTTTGAGCACAAACTTTGGTTGAAATCATGCAGTTGGTTACCATTAACATTTTAAAGGAATATGTGGGTGGAGACAAAATGAATAAAGAAAAATGCTAAAATCAGATGAAAAAGAGGATAAAAGATCCAGAGCAATTTGATTCAGAACAAAGGCTACTTCTTTCATAGATGCACCAGTCCTAGAGTTATAAGGGTTGGGGTTCCGGACATCCATCCAGGACCTACCTTGTTGCTCATCGAGCAGAGGCGGTTCAGGCTGGGGGGGGACGTGACTCACAGGCTCCGCCTGAGGGCCGGCCCTCAGGCGCTCCAGCTCTGCCTCCAGCTCCTTAATCCTCCTCTTCAGCTTCACACAGTTTGGACAAAACGAGGTGGAGGGCCCCTCGCAGGGCAAGCTGGGACCATCATTCTGGCCCTCCAGCTTGATACAGCTTGGACCCAAATCACCCTCCACCCCTTCCGGGCTGGCAGCAGGCCCCGGCGGCTTGTACTCCTGCTCTTTCGGGAAGGGTGAGGTTTGGGTCGACAAGCTTTTGGGGTGGAGGCTGGAGGCATGCTGCCCCCTGGTTCGCCTTAAGGGAAAAGTGCTGTTCAGTGGACTGTCTATGTTTTTGGAGTCTTCTAGCGATGCTTCCAAAACATCTTTAAAAATGAGGTCGATCTTCTTCTTCTTAGTCTGCAGCTGGGAGTCACCCTCCTCGTTGGCCTGCCTGCTGAGGGTTCGCCTCCCGTGCAGCGCTGATCTGAGCACTGGCCCCTTCGTCTCTCGCTGGGGAGGCCCCTCACATTTCTTTGCGCCCGGCCGACCTGCAGCACAGCAGCAGAAAGTAACGAACACAGCTCACCGATATGAATGCAGGCAGGACATGTACCGTCAGGCTCAGCAGAACGAACGCTGAAGGACCCCCAGCAATTAAGCCCAGACCATTTACATTCTATAAACCCACGTTCCCAAGGAAATGTATGGGAAAATGATTTTTAAATTAAAGAATAAAATAGTGAATGAAAATGAAAACCCTTGATTACATACCTGAAGGACAAATGTGGAGAAAAAAGATCACATACAATCAGGAGCATTCTCTTCAGCACCAGTAAGAAACACTGGTGCAGTGCAGTCAGCTCTGGTGGAAGCCCCAGGCATGATTATTAAATATTAAGAAATGTAATGGGGATACGTGGAAGAAAAGACTCCTCTTTAAAGGAATCATGTTCTTATTCTGCTTGTCGCAAAGGTAGTTTTGAATTCAATTACATTATAATAAATATTAAAAACAGATTTTTAATGCGATCTGCCTGGTTTGCTGGACTCCAAGAATACATAACTAAATTATAGGGTCTATTTTAAAACCGGAACATAAAAAAAATGTTGAGATGCTATTGTGCTGTGCGACATATAGATTAAAGATGAAAGCCATAGTGTCTGACAGTCATGTCAGGTCCAGGAGAGGTGAAAAGGCTTGCCTCCGTAAGCCATTAAGAATGCATTATCATGTATTAGGGGAGTACAAATTCTCCAGAAGGCTTTTTCATGAGCAAATAAAACCCCTTTTCATATTATATATGACACACACATGCACAGGCAAAAGTTTAATTCAGAAAAATGCAATTAAACAATGTAGTGCAACCCAAAACGCAGTTGTATTTTATAGATTTTAACCACACTTAAATCTTTTGGGGCAACAGGACAGTGGTGATCAACAGTTATAACTAACAGTCAGAACTCAGTGTAGAAAATAAATAATAAAATAAAAATTAATCACTTCAGAAATAACAGCAAAATAAAATCTTTATTGCAATGGAATTTCAGACAATTGCTTTTGACTGATTTCCCCACAGTCAATAAAACACCGTTTTCAGAAAGATTCTGATTTTATAGCTGATTCTTATTTTATAATCAATGTCCATCAACCAATAAGTAATCTGCTGTTTAATGAAACAAACCAATGGGGGAGGGTGAGTGATCAGTTCAAACTGATAACAGAACTTTAGGTACAACATGTGGTCAAAGCTCGTCTTCACTGTGAGTTTGCGTTGGTCTTCCCCATTTTCCTCCTTCCAGGAGCCCTCCTGCAGGGCTGGACAGAACAAATCTGTAAGAAAAAAATGACCCACCTTATATAACTGAGAATTGTACTTCAGAATATTTCACGTCTTTTGGTATCAACATACTGTTCTGAGGCCTTTTGCGTATCCTCACTATCCAACCCATATTATACGTAACCTAAACATGCAGAAAGCCTGTGGGACAAACCCATTGTACTACTGATGTAGTAGAATTACGACATTAAACACGGTCAAATTCTTTCGTGACTGACTTGAAACAGAGATTGGAGTTTCTCAAGATAGCAGACATTAAAAAAATGAATATATACTTGAAGGGTAAGAACAATGTTAAACTAGAGAAAGAGGGCTGTCAGTCAGATTTCAGAACCGACGTGAAATTCTTCCAATGAAATAGAGTGAGAGAGCATATTAGTGCCTGCCTAGGCAAGAGTCTCACCTGAGGTCCCAAGTGCAGTGAAAGTAGCTGCAGACCAGGCTTTCGGTCTACTGAAGACATGTGATTGCAGTGGATGCTTTGAACAGGAATGTGGCTCCATCGGTGTTTATTGAGTGTGGGGAAAATCAAGAGACAGGGGGTTGCAGAAAACACACAGGGTGCAGGACAACACACTCAGTGAAAATCACTTCTCTTACATCCCTTCTGAGACCAGGGAATGAAGAACTAATCACACAATGATAACAGCTGGATTCCCACATATCAACCTCAACAACCAAATTATTTGACATGGGCAGTATCAAGAAATCAAGTGATTGTAAGTCGTTTTGAAAGTTTAGAGATTGCCTGTGTTCCTTACTTAACTACTGTAATTTCTTTTTTAAATATAATAATTCTCTCTTATGGATGCCTAATGTTCATACATATATGAATGCTATTAAGATTTTTTGTGCCTACGTTGCACCAAGAATGCTCTATTAAGGCCTGTTTCCTCATTCCTTACATGTTACATGACTTCCCACAGTCACAGTAAGAAACTCCTGGTTTCTGGGTCTGTCTTGACTTTGCGTACAAATAAACTTCACACAATGGAAACTTTAGTGGCTGTAACACAAATCTACAGGTTTATTCATGCAGATATACTACTCGTACAGAATTGGTGGAATCTAGCTCTCTCTAACAAATACAAGGAGTCTTCTTCACATAACACTAAGCTATAAGCATCCTACAAATGCCCCAAAATAAACAAGGACATGATACCACAGGCTCTAAGTGCACAAGTAAGACACAGTCCTTCCTGAACAACATCATTAAAAACTCCATGACAATGATTCCAAGAACAAACAGCATTCCACTCTAGCTCATGGCAGTTTAGCCTGTGGAGATGCCAATCCCACTCAGTCCTCAGCACAGACATCTCCCAGGAACAATTTTGGGTAATGTGCAAATCTGCAAGCTGACTGCACTGGCATGAAGGAATCCTGTAATGTGAGCTGCTTTTCACTGGGCAGTTCCTGGTGACTCACAGCCTCACAGATAGTCAGATGGGCTGTGTGACCGAGGAGGCTGAGCTCTCTATCATTATGGTGCCCTGGCATATATGACGCACAACCAAGTAGTTTATTTATGAAGAATAAAAAAAAAACAAAAAAACAATCTGTATAAAATGGGAGCGTAAACCCATAAGCAGGTGGGATTTATGTCTTCTTGACAGCATTAATCAGGTCCCTCATCATGGTCATCCTCTCGGTATGCTGTTGGTGCAAGATGCTGAGGAGCTGTTGAAAGTTCTCCTCTGTCTTCTTTTCTCTCTCGCGCTCCCTCCTCCTAGCATCCTCCCTGTACTCCTGAAGCAGCCTGGCTACATCGCTGAGCCTCCTCCGCTTTTGACCTCTGGCAAAACCTTCCCCAGTGTGGGAGGAGGTGGCAGATGGGAGGCTAACCCTGTTCGGGGGGCTGTCGGGGATCTCCACTATGTTGAGCATGGGCTGGCAGGCACCTTCCACCTCTGCATCATCTCCCCCGTCAGGGGTGGGGAAGTCATTGGCGGCTGGTAACTGAAGACCCAGCCTGTGGCCTACAAGGCTGTGGAGCTGTTCAAAGCAAGGGGGCGGCTTCCTCTTGGCGGTGTCAGGCTTCATGGGATGAGAAACATATTCCTTGTACGCCCGCAGCAGGTTTCTCCACTTCTGGAAGCATCTCTCCCCAGCTCTTTTGGGCCCATCGCCAATGGTAAAGCCCTGTTCCTCCATGTGACTGGCGATGATCTCAAAAATCTTCTTGGTCCTCGTTTTGTTCTCCTTAATCAAGCCCTGGATCTCCGGAGACCCATAAAGCTGCACCAGAGCTTCAGTGGCCTCCATGTCCTGGTTGCTGACCTTACGGTCTGACCACACGGGTAGAACCATGCCATTTTCAATAGCTGGACAAACAGAAAAATAATGGTTAACCTCTGAAAACCAAGGGTGGTTGTTTTATATCAAAGTACGAGAGCTCGACGCTATGCTACGCTATGCCTGTTTCCATTTGAAATAATAGTTTAACCAATAAAAATGGCCCCTCCTTAGCACTAGAAGTCAGAGTGATGGAGGGATGTCATTGACGACCAAAATGTTTTGTAATATTTTTCATTCACAATACAAATATGAATTTAACCACAACACAACTATTCATCATCATGCTGCACCTTGCTGTGACTTTGTTTAACAAGAATGAGAACACAAATTAGACAATTATGCCAGTCTACATCAGAGGTCCAACTGCAGTCCTGGAGGGCCCCAGGCCCGCACATCATTGGGTTTCCTCTCATTTAACACACCTGATTCTATTTCTCTGCTAATTACCACCCATTTCTTCAGTTGAATCAGGTTTAGTGGAACAGGTAGAGCACTAAGCTGTGCTGGGCTTGGGCCTTCCAGGACTGGGGTTGGAGACCCCTGGCCTACATCATCTCAGATGGAGGTCCATGATGAACATACTAACATCTAACATACAGATAATACCTGGTTGAGAAATTACCATAAAGAAGTTAAAAAATGTTCAGCTGGCATGAAATGTTCCAAGGACTTAACTTTGCATTCAGAGCAAGTGTAGAAAACTACTTAGGGAAAGGAACTTTCATGGCTGAGACCTGAAACCCAGCGGGATAGCCTTAATCAGAAGTTAATGCATTCCAATGACAGACCTACCTTTGCTTTCACCCAACAAAGATCTCCTCTTTGTCTTTTGGACACGCCGCTCTGCCTCACTGTCCTTCTGCCCATGTGACTGGAGGAGTTTGGTCTGTGGGACCCTGTCCTTTGTCCATTTCCTACCCAAATGAGTCTCTGTTGTACCTGCCTGCACATAGTTCTCTGCTTCGGAGCCTGCGTTGGAAGGGATGCCGACTGTGATGGAGTTACTGGCCGGGACCACTATGGTATACAGGGGGGTGGTGGGGGTAGGAGATCCATCAGTTATGCTGGATTGGGATGCGGCTCCCCGAGGGAGTGAGCTGGCCGCCACTGTTGCGAGCTTCGAGCTCAGCCGCTGGCTCATGAGGGCGTGGAACTGCTCAAAAAACTCGGGCTGCTTCCGCCGGCCAGTGTCAGTTTTGCGCCGGGCCAGGACATAGTCCTTGTATGTCCGCTCCATGTTGCGCCACTTCTGGAAGCAGCGCTCGCCTGCTTTCCAGGCATCCCCACTGATGAGAAAGCCTTGCACCGCCATCTGGCCTGCTATGATCTCAAACACCTGTTTGGTTTTGGTGCTCCTATTGTTTAGCAAACCCTGGATGTCCGCTGACCCATAATGCTCTATAAGTGCCAGCGTGGCCTCTCTGTCCCGTGCGGTCACATTCCAGGGGCTCGACCAAACAGGTAGATCCCCCCCATTTTCAACTGCTAGACAGAGAGAAAGCGAGAGGAGACAGCAAAATGCCGTTATTAGTCTGAGCTCCGTATGACCGCTGGGTAACGAGTCGAGGGGCACATATAAATGCAAAGCCCTTTGAAATGTCTCCTATTGGGATGTGTCGGGTCTGTCAGATGTAACTGGGCCCGCAGACCCTCCTTCCTCTTTGCTTTATATTGATATTCAGATATATTCCTTTTTCAGGCTTCATCATAAACGAGCATCCAACGAGATTGACAACAAAATGAAAAATGCTATTCAAAGATTACCCGATGAAAATACACAAAATGAAGGCAGCTTTTTAATCCGAAATTGAGGAAGACCCAGGTTCCGTCTGTTTCAGCAATTTTGTACTGCCATTTTAAGCCATTTAGACAGGTTCTGTGGAAAGCCAACATTTTTGGTGTAATGATAATTTTTTTTGCAGTGAGTGTCTGAGCTGGATTATAATTATAGTCATTTCCAATTTGATGCGGTAAACTCCAACATCAAGTCTTTCATAATTTATATAGTGTTATTCAATGCCTGTTGGCTAATGAGCCTTTGATGTATATTAGTGTCATTCAGTGTCTGTTGGCTAATGGACTTTGATGGTGTATTTGTGTCAATCAGTATCCATTGGTTAATGAGCCTCAACATATACAAATACTCCCCAGGTTATGATGGGGTTACGCTCTGATAAACTTAAATATCTTAAGCCGTAAATGCTTTTTAATACAATACACATAACCTAACAAACATCATACCCTAGCCTAGCCTACCTTAAACATGCTTATAACACCTACATAAGCCTACAGTTGGGCAAAATCATTAACACAAAGCCTATTTTATAATACAACCATGCTGGGTACTTCTTTGGTACTTTGGGGTGGGACCTAAAACACAATTTTTGTTGATTGGTTAGGCAAATAGCTTAGGAATGGGGAACGATAGCCTGTCTGGTTGGAAAGACAGATACAAAAAAAGATTAATATATTTTAACGTATTGTTTAATGGACTAGGACAGCATGCATATTTTGTTGTAAATATAGCAACGGGATTTTGTTGGAAAAAATACTGGAGTATTAATAAAGTAAAATACAGTTCAGAAATTTCTCACAAACCCACCTAGGAGTGCTTTAAACTGCCAGGATGAAATTCCTGATCGTCTCAGAGAACACATGTAGCGCTCATGCATAAGCAGTGGAGGTAAACTTTAAACTGATTTTCAAACATACAGCCTTTTAAAAAATTAGGAGACCACAGCACAATTTTTTGTTGTACTCATTTCTCAATTTATGAGTGTGTGTCTCTGAGTAGGACGTTGCAAACCGCAGCCTGGCTCTTTCCTGCTTCTCACTGATGAACGGCTTCTTCCTTGCTTTATGGGACTTCAGTCTTGTTTCTAATAGTCTGATATGACCTGCCCTAGCGGTGCACTTCACACCTGCACTTAATGTTTCTCATCCCTTTCGAAGGTCACTTGATGTAATCCTACCATTCATGAGAAACTGTTGGATAAGTAAACAGTCAACTCTGGCATTAGAAAGTCGCTTCTGCCCTTTCTGGTTTCTGGTCGTTCCCAGTGTCTCCTGCTTCACCTTATTCTTGTGTACTGCTGTCTTAGAAATTTTGAACCTTATATGCAACCTGCTGCTCAGTATAGCCTACTGCCAGTAAAACCACAATTAAGAATGCAAATTTGTTTAAAAATATAGAGGTCTCTTAATTTTTTCTACAGCTGTATATTACATAATCCATAAAAAGAAATGATAATTAAAAATTGCAAAGCTAAGTTTTTTTTCTATGACAGGTAAAAAAAGTTTTTGTGAAACTTAAACTCCCCGATCTTAATCTAGCAAACTAGTGATATGAGAATTGCATGTGCATAACGTGCAATGTTAGTATTAATATCACACATCGTCCAGCCCTATAATATAATATAAAATACCATTTTTCAAATTCAGTACAAAATACCCTGCTTCACGTTGTGATGTCATTCAACACCGGTTCCAGTTTTTTCGCCAGTGGAAAACCAACACCTTGAAGTACCGTACTTTTGGTACTCTCTGAAAGTACCCAAAGTATAGTACCTGATGTGGTGGAAAAGCACCCCTGGTGATCCCGTACTGGATAAGTGGCTGAAAGATGGATGAAATAAAAATATTATAAACCACTGCACAAAATAAATCTAAAACAACGTAATGTGACACACTTTATACAGTTGTCATTCAACGGTCTAATGTTTTACATGAACTTATGTGGATTGTTGTCAGATACGTGATTTTTTTTTGTCAACAAGATATAAACTGCTCTTGCTTTAACAATGATTTTAGTTAGGTAACTATCAAAATTAAGTTGTTAGCATCCATGCAAACAACCGTCACTGTGTGGCGCTGCTTCAATTTTGGTGCGATTTGTCTCAAAATTTGATCAGGTCTAGATTTTCACCCTTACTGCGTGTCAGCAAAGGTTAAAAAAGATCTGTCAAATACTTTTCAGGTATAACACTAATGTAATCAAAATTCCAGTTTCTCACCCCTACAATATGCCTGCAAAGTTTGAAAAAGATCCATAAAATACTTTTACAGTTACTGTGTTCACAAGACCAAGTTTCTCCTACATATGCCATTCCCTGCCACACAGTGCTGCTGCTTCATTTTTGCTGCAATTTGTCTGAAAATAAAACCAGGTGTCAATCTTCATCCATATAATATTTTTGTGAAGTAGTAATAAGATCCATTGAATATTTTTGGCTTATCACATTCACAAGTTCAAATCCCACCTGTAGTCACCCTTCCCTTTACTGCCAGTAAGCAGCGTTACTTCAATTCAGTTCACTCATACAGTATGTGTGTAAAGATCCTTCAGATAATTTTTCAGTTATCACACTAATGAGAAAATGTCTATGAACTGGTCCCAAAACCATTTTTATTCCCCGTCCAGGAATACAATGCAGGCACTGCTTGTCACATTGCAGAAAACCCAGAAACTTTGTTTTCTATAAAGGCAACAGACTCTGGAACTGCACATCATCAACTGGACTGCTGCAGTTCAAAGATAAAAGGACCTCAAATGTCTGCGAGACCCCAGTGTCCTGAGCATGTACCTACATGCCATCAGTTTGACATTTCTGTACTGACATTTCAATATGACACAGAAACGCTTCTAGTTACAATTTACAGAGGAGAAGATGTCTGGTTCAAATCATGTGGTTCACATTGCACAAAGAGGCCAACATGTCTCAGGAGATTAGCTGCAATACACCGCAATTATTGGTTACATAACATCATGACACCTATATAGAATATAGCTGAGACTCTCTGTATAGCTCAGCTCAGGCTGTGAGGAATACTGCAAGCACAGAGCTGCAGATGAAGAGCTAACTAGCTCACTACACACATCTGAGCCAGTTCTCTTCTACTTTCAATTACAGTTACTACCAAGACTGACAACAGTCGTAATTATAGACATTCATTTAATAGAGTGACGGCAGCAATCAGAGTGTGTGTCTGTCAGGAGGCAGTGTGCTCTTCTTGTGTTGTTAAGGGTTCCTCCCACAGTTCAACAAGAGGCTGTCAGCTAATCTGTTAACTTTAGACTAGCCAGTGGCAGACAGGGGAGGTGGAGGGTAGGAGGAGGTGGCTCCTGCGTCCAGTTCTGGGATAACAGCTGCCTTTATCCTGCCTGCAACAACAGGACCCTGACTGGACGAGCTGATGTGTTCATGGGTGGCTGAATAGATTCTACACACAGATGTCACAATGAATATTCATACCGATCAATGAGCCACACATTTGAATAATAAAACTAGAGAGCCTGGGACTGGTACAAAGCCCTGCTATTTTAACAATTGCCAAAATAAAGCAAGTGAATATTCACTGAAATTACCCAATAGTGTATGATACACACACTATGTTACTAGCGCCTTTACAGCATGTGCTGGCAGCCTCAATAACCCATAACATACACATAGTAACTTGTGTAAATGTGTTAGACAGACTGACAAAAAAGAGGGTTGTCCCCATAAACGAAAACAAAACAAAATGTTAACAACTAAACGTGTTATGTGACATGCGTTTTCATCTCTTGTTTTAAAACTACCACTAATTTATTTCAGAGATACCGAAGAATTAAGCACAAGCCTGTTGAAAACTGCCTTCCATAACAATATGGCTCAGGCTTGTGAGATCTGGCCTTATTCTGGTAGCCTGCTGGGGAAAACTTTGCAGTCTCCCATCAAGCTCTGTTTTTACCACGAACAACAGGCATCAGCTGGCACATGCTGGAAAAATGCTGGCAAGGTAGTATGTGAAATTAAGACCTTACTACTGGTGAATATGAATATGCTTACTTTACCCTACTTTTATTCTTGTGTTCCTGTTTTAAGTCATCTTCCATTTCCGAAGACCAATTCCAATACTAAGAACACAAGTACAGAGGATGATAAAAAATCTCCAGATGTGGTCTTGCTCCACACTAGAGCCCTGCGCGGGACTATTTTTTTAATCCCGCTCCCGCCCACTCCCGCTGAATTTCTGACCATTACCGCCCACTCCCGCTGAATTTCTGACAATTCCCACCCAATCCCGCCCGCTGTCTCTGTCACTCCCGCCCGCTCCCGCCCACGACAATCTAAAACCCGCCCAATCCCGTGAGATTTGCGTTGGGTCCCGCGGGATCCGCGGGATCCCGCTCCCAATGCAGGGCTCTACCTGGGAGTACAGCAACGGGGAAGGTGTGTCGCCTCAATCCCGAAGTGCCAGATTTGTGCCCGTTGTACACTATCGCTTTGCCGCACTTCACACAACACACAAAGTTCAGCTATTTACCCTCTTTGTTTGTTACAATTTTAAAGTTTTTCCATATCTCAGATTTCCCCAATTTTAGTTTTGTTTTATATTCTCCCTTTGCAATTTTATTAACAACATCAGCTGCATCCTCCATCCTGCTAAGCTAACAATTTTGGGACCCGCTGTCTATTTTTATCCCGCCCGCTATCTCTGTCACTCCCGCCCGCTCCCGCCCACGACAATCTAAAACCCGCCCAATCCCATGAGATTTGCATTGGGTCCCGCGGGACCCGCGGGATCCCGCTCCCAATGCAGGGCTCTACTCCACACCAAATATCAAGAATACATTGGTTGCATCCTCACCAAATGAGACTAATCCCATGATTCATTGCCCCCCAAGTTCGCTCTTGGATGGCAAGTTAGCAAGACTGGTCTTGCCAAGACCACAAATATGGTCTTTGCGTTCTTGGTATTGAGATTCGCTACGTCTTGCCACACCACAAAGTATTCTGGGATTTCAGTTACACTAATTCTGCATAATGACTGGCACCTGCATAAAGTCTGAACTTATTTCACTAAATTGTGCAATCTACGACTGCTGCGGTTAGTCCCTGTAGACGTTGACATTGACATTGTGAAAACAGGGTCGTGTTTCCACATCATTTACATTACCTGGTGACGCAGCTCACTGGACGAGCCTTCTAACCCAGGTTACTAAGTGATACTGGTAATTAGTGAATCCCATTTAAGTCTCACATTAACAGACTCATTGGGATACCGCAAATTGAGTTTGGAGGAACAAACCATTCGGCATAACAATTAGTTAATAATCAGCATTAAATAATAATTAATTAAATTTTAATTTATTTCAAAACATATTGGTGGAGATATTAAAACTTACCTGAGCTAATAATTCCTACAATACTGTGGATCATAATATCCTCTTGGACCTGCAAGAATCTGTGGTTGGCATTAAGGAGACAGTCCTCTCTTGGTTTCGCTGCTATTTAACTGATTGTTATCAGTTTGTCCACGTGAACAAGGAACCTTCCAAGATCACCAAAGTCAAATAAGGAGTCAGACAGAGATCAGTGCTGGGTCCAATACTGTTCACTTTATATTTGCTACCTCTTGGTAACATTATCAGAAATCATGGTGTTGGTTTTCATTGTTATGAAGATACACAGTTATATATATATCTGTTAAGCTGGATGATGGATCACAGCTCTCTCGGTTAGTCTACTAAATATCCGGTGTTGGATGGCAAATAATTCCCTTATGTTAAACACAGAAAAAACAGAAGTACTGTTAGTTGGTCCCAAGGCTGCTTGAAATACGTTTGACAACCTCAACCTCAGTGGTCTTACCACCCAACCGACCACAGTGGTCAGAGATCTTGGTGTTCTGGTTGATTCAGATTTATATTTCAATGCTCACAGAAAAATATTACTAGAACTGTGTTCTATAATCTATGGAACACAGCCAAACTTCGGAAGATGCTCTCTTTTCATGATGTGGAACAACTAATATATGGACCATAATATCCTCTTGGACTGGCTAGAATCTGTGGTTGGCATTAAGGAGACAGCCATCTCTTGGTTCTTAATTCCTTCCAGACTGGACTACTGCAAGGCCCTCCTTTCTGGTTGCCAATCTGGATCCTTACATAAACTTCAGTTAGTACAAAATGCAGCAGTCAGTGTTCTTACAAACATTTGATCATATTAGCCCTCTTCTATGCTCCCTTCATTGGCTTCCAGTTAAATCTTGCATTGACTACAAAATACTGCTATTAATTTATAAAGCACTGAATGGCCTTGCACCAGAATCTGCTGGCCTTATACAACCATCCTCGCTTTCTTCAATCTCAAGGAGCAGGATATCTGTTAGTACCTAGGGTAGAAAGAACTACGGCAGGCTGCAGAGCTTTCTCTTATAGAGCTCTTCTAGCTCTAATTCTAGCTCTAGCTAACTGCTCACTCCCAGTTAGACCTATAGTGTGAGGTGTAGAGCTGGGTGGGGATCGGTGCCATTGGCTTTGGATGAACTGAACTGTCAGTCTGTCACTCTAGCTTCACACTCTCTTGTGGAATTGGAGTGCTGACATTTCAGGGACTCCCCATGCCTGCGCTCCCACCTGCCTCTCCTTCCTACTTATGTTGCCATAGCCTTATAGTCCAGAGCTTACATACTGCACTCACCAAACTGTTTGCACTGCCTCTAGTCTCCCCTACTTTGGCTAATTGCACATTTTATTTCCCCTACTCCTCCTGGGGTGTGCTACCTGGATACCCCAAATTTTCAAGATATCCTGCCTGCCCTGCTACCTACGATGTCTCCACTACCTGTGACCAATCTTACTAGTGGTAAACAGGCACAAAATCATTTGCTATTTTGATGACGTGCATGCTTGGTGTGAAAATGAGGAATGCGCTGGTTTGAAACAAGCAAAAGCACATTGCATTGTACTTTTTGCTGGTGCAAAACAGGGCTCTTTGTCTTTATAGTTGCTAAATACACTCATTATTAAAGCCATAATGTTATCTGTCTGCTACCTTGGAATTTCCATTGAATATGTGTTTGTGAAAATAGACATTCTGTATGTTGACTGACTGTGCCAGTGTGTGTTCATGCGTGTTGGGCTTTATGGGCCAGTGTTATTATTGTAAGCAAAAACTGAAATGAAAACGGACACTAAATTTTAGAAAAATCGTCGGACTTTAATATGTAAAAAGTACCACACCACCTCTGACATCTTTTTACCTTGTTTAACCACAATATCTCCTCTTTTAACCTTCGTCCTGTGTTAGCTTTCTGTACGCATCTCTTATATTAGACGGGTCAGTACCGACCCGTGTCTTAAATCAGCCATAAAATACCCTCAAAACAATTATTTATCATCCAATTTGTTTCTTACCTCTTGGTTACCTTGTTAGGCTTCCTTATCCATGAAATGATTGGTTTTAATATTTTTGGTGTGGCTTTCTGGACCTTTCTTTTGACAGCATACCTCTGGTTTTCAATGAAAAATAATGGTAAAATAAGCCTTAAGTGAATTAAATAAATAAACTGAATTGGTCTTATCTTGCCTTACATGTCTGGGCATGCCTTGCCTAATGAATTTTTTTTATGTATTCTCTTTTAAAAAATAGATTTTCCTGATGCAGTACACAAATTTATGTGGTGCTTTTATGCATTTTAAACTTAAAAAGGGGTCGGTGCCGACCCCAACACCAGAGCTGTTATAATACCACCTTTTTATTTAGTGAAAATTTAAACTACTTCCATAATTAAGTACCGTAGTGATATTAAATGAAAACAATTGTTATAATGCATTTTAGGGTTTTAGCATAAAAGTAATTTTGTTAAAAATAATAAAAATAGATGAGTTGATTTTAAATACTGATGTTGACAAATTTCGAGTGTCGATGTCATCATCTACGTCAACTAATTGTAGCAGCCCTACATTTCTGGGCAAGAAGACATACAAGAAAACAGCAAATAGAATGCATAGATATTCTAAAACTCTAAAACACCAAGATATGCTACCTAATGATATTTAATTACTCAAACAATCCTAATTAGGAGGTTAGTTGACCAGCCAGCTTAGTCTGTATTCTAATGTATGTTCCCACATACATGAAAAGATATAGTTCAGCAACCCATACTTGCATCTGACATAGTTTGGCTTTTATTTCCTGCTCAGATACAGCTATAAAACACATATTGTGCAAAATGGTGCAATATACCCGCTTTAAAATCACCATCACATAGGCTTTTGCAACAAAATTCAACATTTTAGCTAGCACCTCATAGCTCCCCCTATTGTTCTGAAGTGCAAATAAAAGAGTATTTAGGTTCCAGGAGTGCCTGACCCGATGCTTGTTGTATTTACCTCATGAATCACAAAACGCACAGGATTATTGGAAAATACAAAGAGGTGCATTGTGGGTGTTGCCTCACCTGTGGCCAGGTTGCGGTTAATGCTGTCCTGGGACATACTGTGCAGCCGTGCCATGTAGTCCTCGCTGTACCACACTCGGAGCTTCTCGCCCACCACTAGGTCACGACACACGCGAAAGTAAATGTGCTCGCCATGTTGAAAGGCTGTCAGGTTCCTCTCGCCATCCTCGGCCGAGGTCCGCACGTACCTAGGGGTCAAACAGGGTCAACCCACATGAATGGAGAACTGTGGCAGGCTAAAACAAAGAAAAATTCAAAACATCTTTTACAGAATAAAATAATTTCAAGTTTACAATGGTGTGATACCGATATACATCAAACTATAAATTTTGATCTGTTCCCAGGCTAACTACATGCCGTATAATACTTTCTACTGATGGCAGGCAATTGCAGCATCCACCCAGCCACTCTCCCAGTCTCTGTAGTGTTTGTGAGCTTAAACACCCCATAGTGTTTAATGGCGTATTCCATTTGCCTTCGGATCCGAATTTCGGTTGCCGAGATTACGTCACATCCGCTAAAAACTCGGGGAAAACAAGTCAGATGCGTTCCATTTGCCACAGAAGTAGCAATACCATGGGCCCATATCAAAAAGTATGATTTTTTGCTTAGCCGGACAAGGACAACTTGTCGGATTAAAGGTACCTCAGTTTAAATGGCCTTTATCTTTGTTCACTTACAATTAGCCCGTGCTACCTTAAATCCGGAAAATAATCTGACTAATCATGAAATCCAATTCTAGCCCGGTTAATTGTTAGCCATTGTTTGCAATATCAGTTGATAACACATTATACGCTGTGCTTTACGTATAAAACTCCATAGCAACACGTCCACAGATAAGTTGGACGGTATAGTGTGTGCGACCAATTTAATGAGTCACAAATGAGAGGTAGTGCTTATACAGTATAAAACTACACTTCTGTTGATAAAGGGTGCAGCCATCTTGGATTCTGAACACGGGATCCTCTGTGGTGCTCCGAGATATTTCTTGGATCTCCGAGAAACGGGAGCGCGCATGTCGTCACTCCCGACTTCAAAACTTGGAATCCGACTCGGAATCCGCGAGTTCCGAGGGCAAATGGAACACACCATAACAACATGTAGTCTGGTATTGTGTTTTCTGTGTTTAACCAAGTTTTCCCAAGCTAAGTATATGTATGTACTAAATGCCCACGTCTGTCATATCATATCATATCATATCATATCAATTACATTCATTCCTTCTTTCTACAACTCCTCTGACATGTTTGATGACTGCATATTTCATTGAGGGTCTCCATCTTTGGTTCTTATTTTAATCCCATGTGTGAAGCATTTTGAGCTGCATTTCATAAATGGAAAGTGTATACAGAACTTACAAACTTTCAGACATACGAACGAAGAGGACTGTAAGTCCAAATTGTGTTCGTTGGACTCCCGTTTCCTGTCCGCAACATAATTTTTTTTTTCTACGTGTCAATTCTGCCTAGTACAACTTGTGGCCGCTACTCCCGCCGTGCAGCAGCGTAGCGTGTGTACTCCCAGCATCCTAGTTCTTTGTACTTGCCTATACCCTTAAAATGATGTTGAATAATGACTTACGAACATTTCAAGTTATGAACGAATGTTCGGAACGTAACTTGTTCGTAAGTAGAGGAGCGTCTGTATAAATAAAAATCATTATTATCATTATTATTATTATTATTAATAATAATAATTAAAACTATGGAAAGATTGCTAACCCAGAAGAATACCTGCCTTTCCACAGATTTCCACATTGGTCAATTATCCCAGTCAAGTTGTGGGGGCGACACAAACAAAGATTCAGCTAAAAATTACCTCATCCAGTTTGCCTTTGTTTCGTCACTACCATCAATGGATTTGTACACATTGTTGTCATCAACAACCTGAGAAAATAACAATCTGAAATTAGTTATTTTCTTTTAATATCATGGCTGCTTACCAAAAACAGAAACTCCCAGCAGTAATAGTCAGACTGCTCTTCAATTAGGGCTTACCATCCAGGAGAAGAAGCCTGAGGATTTATCCTGAGACACAACTTCCCCCTGATAGGGGCCAAAGAGAGCCCCTTTTGGGATATCCTTGTCCACGCAGCACACGTCCACTTCGTCCCCCTCCTGAATGACCTCAATCCCAGAGGGGGCGGTGAGGGCTGCGCGGTTGGGGACCCCGAACTCCACGGGAGTGTCTGGCACAAATACTGGAGGTCCGTGGGTGGGACACTCCTCTATGAAATACTCCTTGCATTCTTCACAGACTGCGGGGAGACCACAGAAGACGAAGTTAGCAGCTGGCCGTTACGAAACACTGAAAAAGGTCATTATGAATCTTGTAACATTTTCACAATTATTAATGACAAAGCTTCAATTAATCATCTCATTAACGAGATAAAGTACCTGTCACAGATTACAATGTAATCTACTCGAACTTTACGATACCCACCTTATGGTAACGCTAGATTGTATTAACATTAAGCAAAAAATTTTATGTTACAATAGCATAACATTTATACGGTTTTTAAAAGACACTGACTTTGAAACTGCTTCATTTTTCCTCCCATTTCTCAATATTTCTAATGATTCCTTGAACACTTTTATTTTCAACTTCAAACCACATTCAGATAATGTGACACAAACGCGTAGTTTGAATGACTTTTCAGTGGATTGTTTTTCCAAATCAAGTGACATATATTTGTATATACAGACACTCCTCTACTTACGAACTTTCAGACATATGAACAAACATTCATATTGTTTAAGTCCAAATTGTGTGCATTGGGCTCCCGTTTCCTGTCGGCAACATCAATTTTTTTTTTAGTACGACTTCTGGCTGCTAACTCCCGCTGCGCAGCATTTCCCATACTGTGTACACTTATCATATACTGCCATACCATAGCATATCTGAAACAACAGATCTAATACTGCAATAGGTAGCATATTATATAATATTGTTTGCTGTTAGAAGCGCTAAATGCATAGCTTATTGGGAGGGGTGGTGTACCCTTCTTACTAACAGTTATAACTTTCAGTATTATAGTATTTATAGCTACTACTTTTGTCTGTGCCTGAAAATTTAAATTACATGTAATATAATTAGCTTTGCAATTAAATTATTATCAGTAAAATCCCGAATATTTTCAATTAATCACGGTAATAATTATTAGGTGGTCTCATTTGTATGATATTTGCAAGGAATTTGAGTCATTTATGTTGTTTACGTACAATGGATGGAGCGACTTCAAGACATGTCGTGCTCTACGCCCCTTGGCCTATAGCGGGAGACAATCCTGACATGTCTAGAAAATATACGTCATCGGGTACATGCGCCCACATGTACATGCAACCACAGCCATCTGTAGCAAACCTCGATGACACTGCCCCCTGTGCGCAACCGAAAGTGTGAAAGTGCACATGGAAAAATGAAGAATGAATTGGCCAGTAGGCCTACTACATTTTTCCATGGGCACAGTCAATGCATGTGTACAGCAATAATATTCCACCAGACCAAAAGAGGGCAGATGTGTTACAACAAATATAAATACAAGTAACATTTTGAAGTAGGATTAAGGAAAAATCTGATTTATTTCGACAAGTCTGGCTCATTTAAGTGAGAGTTCTGTTCCATCAACGTGTCTTAAATGAATCCCTGCTGAGCTACCATAGTAACTTAGGCGAGTGAACAAGTCTGCTCCAGACCAGGTTAACTGTCTCGCTTAGTTAAGTGTTATCTCAAAGAACGTCTGACGTTTGGGAACAGATTCCCAAAAGATCGCTCTGTCGGATGAAATTCCGCGCTTTCACTACTCATGTCATGTAATCTGTTGAATTATGTGTCCTCATCTGTCATAATATTTTACATAATGTGACTGAATTATTTTGTTTACCTGTAAGGTGTAATGTACCAAAATGACATGGCCCTATATATTTGATTTTATGACCACAATCTTTGTGTGTGAATTCAGTACCTACAGTGCGTTTTTCTGTTTTAAGTGATGTTTTTGTTTGAGTTAGCGGGAGAGTGAGTCTTGTAAATATGTATATATATTAAAAAATGGAACCCTGTAGTCGGTGCTGTGAGTAAAAGTAAGACGAGGAAGCAGAGAATAAAAACCATCTTTTCTGAAGTAATCCTCTGTGTGATATTTCCATAATATGGAGAACAGAGCTGAGACTGCAACATAATCAATACAATAAAGCCTATAAAAATCATGTTTCAGTATTCCAATTAATTCCAAAATAATTTAAATAAAAGTGTACCCATATTACAAAGGTCAAACATGAAATGCAATGACTGAAATTGAAAAAAAAACCGTAAAAATTATATGAACAGAAAGATATTTTTTATATTTTGTTTAGTCACAGTCTACTTTGAACGTTTATTAGTGAAAAGCAAAGACAGGATACGGTTATTTGTGCAGAACATTTCACACGGATGCGATTGAAAGTATTTTAATACAGAATAACATTTCACAGTAAGAATGACATGTGAACTCAATCCAAAAGGTTTCCCCATTGGCTACTGGGATCGAACCAAAAACTTTCACGGTGTAAGGTGACAGCATAAACCACTGTACCACCATGCCACTGTACTAGGCACTTGTACCATTTACATAACTTATGCATTTAGTCTGTCTGCAATTCTTTGTCAAGCCAAATCCCTGGATTTATTATTGGCCACAGTATCAACTTTTATCTTAGGAATGGGCATTTAACGTCAAGTCCATTTACCATGCTGGGGGGGGGGGGACACTTTTTCAATCTCCACACAACAACACATAGCGACCGAAGTACCAGTAATCCCGTAGTTCTTATTTCATTTTTTGTTAGTGATAATATTCATAGAAAGTATGCTGAAAAAACGCGCCTGAGAAATGTCCATACCGAGATAAGCTTACAAGCAAAGCGAGGATTTGGTATGAGAAAAAAAATATCTTTCATAAACCACCTAGACCCCTACGAGCTGCCCTGGTGGGGGAAGGTTTGGGGCAGTTTAAAATGAATTTTGGAGATAATTAACCAGTACCCATACTTTTGTTGACTGAAATTTGGTGACATTTTTAAAAGAATGTGGGAGTTTTTGAAATTATGTAAAATAACGGTAAACAGCAGCTCTGTCTTTTTATTCCTGCTTACCTGTGCATGTCTGAATGTAACAGGTTATAGCTGCATTGATGGCCAGTGTTGTACCAACTAATGAACTTGAACGTGAGCGTAGATCAGTTTGGCTAAAGAGAACGACACACAAGTAGTAGTAATAGGCAAAAAAAATAACTTTAATACTGTGATGTGTCAGAGGCGCACTTTGAAAAATTATTAAGTGATTTTCTCGCACATCCCTTATCTTGATCAGTGTTGGGCTCTGATGTGCTGGTCATGACAGAAATGATTTGTTTATATCAATAAAGTAGACTCCAAGAGCTTTATAATGGTAGGTGATGCTACTGATATTTTAATTTCTGATCAAAAATTTCACTTTGGATTCAGAGCAGCATATAAAAACATTAAAAAACAGAAACGATGATCGTGAACTAGTTCATTTTAATCTGTGTAAACTGAACTTTGAGCTAGTTCTGCTTGTGTGAACTTGCAGAACATTGATGACAGTGATATTAATACAGTGGTACCTCAGTGCTCGACTCATTAGAACTCGAATTTCTTAAAAGTCGAACCAACCAGTTCGAAAAAAAATTACCTAGAACTCGATCTGAATCTCAGACGAGCAGTATATGTAGATAGATAGGACATTAAGCCTTTTAGAAAACTGAAGTATGCAAAGTAATATTTGCCTCAATATATTGCAGCCCTCTTAAAACTTGGATATTGTTTATTCACCCTTTCAGTTTATATGATATGATGTCATTTTATTGCAACCGACTACACAACAATGTTGCATAGTTTCGCACTATTAGTGAATAAATCTGAATACAGACACAACCAATGCACTGCCACCTGGAGAACGAGAGGTATCCACCCACGCTGACAACTGGGGGGACACGTTGTCCACACTGGGAAGGTCTTGGAGGCCATCTGTTGGGCAGGGCTGACCTCAAATCCAGCCAAATGCCACCTTAAGCTGACAGAGGCCTGTTGGCAGGGTACCTTATCAGAAATGGCCTGCTCAGAACTCAGACAAAGAAGACTGAGGCAGTCCGTAACCACCTCAGCCATCCACTAAGAGCCAGGAATGGGTTTTCGTAGGTTTGGCAGGTTATTATTGGTTCTTTGTCCCCATTTCTCCTCAATAGCTACCCCCTTTTGGACCTTACCCAAAAGGGACAGCCTCAACTGGTCATCTGGAGCCGCCACGCAGAGTGAGCCTTTTTCACGCGGCGTTAACCTCCCACCATATTCACTCTGTGCACATCTTCTCAGCGGATACGCCAATTTCCTTATACTGTCCAAAAACATTAAACTTACTGTATGTGTGACTGACTGTATGTGTGACTGAGTGTGCAGCCTGCAATGTCTGGTTGGTTCCTGTCTTGCGCCAGTGTATATATAATAACAGGTACACCTGATTATTCAATGAATCATCAGATAAATTGGTAGATTACTTGAATATTGATATAATTGATAATGACAGCCCTAGATAACTCTTAGAGATGAATGATGTATTAATAAATCAGTATTGGCCGATTTTGCTGGACAATATTTAAACCTTATCAATTTTCAAAGATAGCAGCACCAGAGCTAAAGCCATAACTACTAAAATAATAGAGATTGCAATGTGTGATCAGCTATTTTCCTAAGTGCAGGTCGAGGGATTTCATCAGCTCAGCTGTCCACTTAGATCAGATTTGAAAGTGCCAGCCAGAAAAATGTTCATAATTCATTATTGTATCTGGCCGGAGATCAATCATTCATTTTCCACAAAATAAACAAAATGATGTAATGTCATTCCGCTAAATGGCTTCAGCAAGTTTGACAAGTTTCACCCTCACAAACTCCCCAGCAAGTTGCTCAGAGGTTTGCCAGTTAGGGATGGGCAATATCGTATCATTTGCAATATACTGGGGAAAAAAAATCCCCACGATAATAATTAGTCTTCCTGCGATAATAACGATAAACTCTAAGGGCTCTATTTTCCATCCGTGCAAAGCACGCTGCGAAGTGGTTTTCACACCATGTGTGAAAATAGTAAATGATTTTGCCCCCGCATTCTGCTCATAGGACTTGTGTTTTTAAATGGGGCGTGGCTCGGAGTATTGTCGGCTCATTGCTATTTTGAGGCAGTGCAGCGTCATTGTGCACAAAAACCACGTCTAAAGTCAGTGACCCTTTATTAAACGGTACAGCGCTTTAAGTGTATTTTGTTATTTTATTTCATTTATATCTATTTTTATTATAGAGTACAACGGTTCCTTTCACATAATCATACTGTTCAATAAAACACCAAATGAAAAACAATATATATTAAGTAAAGAACAAACCGGATCATTAAAAAACCTTTTGAGTTTATTATCAGGATTGCTGCCAGTGGTATAAAACAGCAATTTTGCCAAACCATTTCAAAGACCCCCCGAGAAACCTTGAACGGTCTACTTTTCAAATATATACATGTAGAAAGTAAGTATTTTAGAGCTTTAGAGAAAGAAAAAGGCTGTTGAAAGATCAACCTGGCATCTGGTGCTTACACAGTAAGATATTGATGTCCTTCATTCTGTCAGTAAAGCACTTGGGCCTCACCTTGATTTCAAGGAGAATTATGTCACAGTGTCATGCTAGAGATCTATTCTTCACCTATTCAACAGTGAGTTACTGCAGGGGAAAGATGACACAGATCTCACCAAGACCATTAAAAGTTCAATACTAGACTACATGAACACCAAATACAACAACCCAGAAGATGAGGAATTGATCAACATGGCAACATTTCTTGATCAACCCTTCCACGTTCAGCACTTGAGTCAGGAAGAGATCCTGGTCATCAAAGCCAGAGCAGTCAGAGAGGTGGAGCCTCTATCTGCCACGCCAGGTGGCTCTGCTACCTCTGAAACATCACCGCAATCTATAGAAAAAGCTCAGGGTGTGTGTGTAAAAAGCGGAGGAAGAGTCCGGGAAGCTTTTCCAAAAAACCAGCTGCTGCGCTTACCAGCGTTTCTGACACAGAGGGAATGAAACAGCTACTAGCATGGTAAACTACCAGATAGTGAGAGCAATCCCCTAACATGGTGGTAGTTACACAAGGTGAATTTCCCTCTGATCAGTTGTTTGGCCAAAAAGTACTCATGCATCCCTGCCACAACTAAAGCTTCAGAGAGGGTATTTAGTGCTGGAGGAAATATAGTGTGCCAAAAGTCTCTTCTGAAACTTCTTGACCAAAAAAATCTTAAGGTGTGAGCCTAGGTCTCCAACTGAATCACACTTCATCAGTATGTGTGTTATAACTTGCACTACCTAACGTTCTTGCCAGCCTCATTTCCACATTTTTGCGCACGAGAGTATTTCAGTGTTTACATTTTCATTGAGTTTTTGTGGAAATAGTATTTGTTGATTTGTTTATTACTCACATTGTCTTGTGCACTATTTTGTGGTGAAGAAATTGTTGGGGTTGCTACATATTGATATCATGTTTATTCTATTTTTCATAAAAATGTTTGTACTGTTTTTACCACTATTTTTTCCATGAGACAAACGTATATACGTGAAAACTTACACTTACGGAATTTGTGGCATGTTCCAGCCATAAGTTAATTTCCACGAGTATTATTATTTACACTGTAAGAGTGCATCACTAACATTTTCAGTGAACTTGTGTTTCAGTTTAATGTTTCTTACCTTATCAGATTGTATTTACACTCTGCAATTTTATATCCTCAAAAATCTAATAGACGTATTTTTGCTATTCGCCCTATTTTGCCACTATCTGTGCCATGACAATATAAATAAATGCAGAATCTGTGTTTACATTTCAAAATTATGTTTGATTGTAATCAATACTGTGTAATTGGTGTAGTGAAGTAGCCTATTCGATTATGGGCAATTTTCTTTAGAACAATATTTGTGTTGTGAGGCTCTCCAGACTGTTTGCAGTAATAGATTTATAGCCAAAAAGACAGTGTTGAGTTATAATATTTTTCATCGTCATTTATATTGTTATATTGATATAAAAATTTATGTCCATATCGCTCATCCCTATTGTCAGTTATCGGTATCAACGATATTAGACAAAATTCACCGGTCAAAATTTCGACGTTGTTCCACCATTAATGACTCTCTCCACATCTCAGTCACAGCTAAATCAGTTTGGGCAGAGGCGCGGACTCAAATCACACTTATGAATTTGATAAATTTGACTTGTGACTAAGCAAAAATTATGGAAAGACTTGGACATGTCGGCGAATGACTTGAGACTAGACTTGAACTTGCACAATACTGACTTGAGACTTGACTCAAACTTGCCAGAGAGAGACTTGTTCTCATCTCTGGTTATGGGTCTCTCTCCATTTACATGTTACAGAGTTTGCAGGGCTTGAAAACATACTTATTATATATATCATTAGCATTTAACATTAAAAAATATGTATGATATTGGGTGGGTGGATCCCCCCCTGCGACAGGGTGGTGCCCCATCCAGCATTATTCCCTGCTTTGCAAAGTGGGATATGAAGAGCTCCAGGGGCAGCTTGTGCTCAGATCCCAAGCTCCGCTCTCTCTACTGTATGCTTGTCTGAAAGGAGACCTGGATGGCATATGTGAAGAGAAGCATTCCAAGGTACCTGCACTCATATTTGTCTTCTAAATGTTCTATAAAACCAAAATTAGAATTTTATATTAAAATATATTAAAATGAATTTGGGAATCAAGCTCTTAATCTGGCATGTATGATAACTGAATGTTAAAAAATATATTAAAGTTAATTTTGGGATTAATTAAACTGCTTTTATGTACGTATCTATCCACCTCAATTCCCACTGCAAATGGAGAGTGACCACTGTACTTTCATTTCAGTCTACAGAGACATGATATGTGCTGCAGGTGGTGAGGATAAATGAACTTACACCAGAAGTCTACTTTCGGGTGGCTTATAGCCACACAGGCCGGAGGCTCGACTTTCAGCTTTTTGCTGGGCTCTTCGTGATCATATGTCTCCTTGTCCTTTATTTGGCTGCAACAAAACCAACCGGCTGTTAAACAATTGGACTATGATGAAAGTTGAATCCATCCGTCCATCCGTCCGTCCGTCCGTCCATCCATGAATGATGCTTTAGTTTATAAAGATTATACTTCATTAAATTTTATATGCTCTCAAAAAGTAAATCTACATAAAATTGCAACAACAATCATGTCTTCCTTATGGATTTTCACAATTTACAGTGTGTGATACTGCACCACTAAATACAACATTTAAACATAATGAAATGTAAAACAGCCTTTTCAATAATGCTGATCTGATGGTGCAGCGGTTGAAGGAATACCTCCTACTGCAGTTGGGTTCATTTTCTGATGTCAGATCTTTCTGGGTGGTAGTGGACTCTGCCATAACGCAGGGGACAAGCCTGGGGAGGGGAGGGGGGGTCCTGAATCTCCCAGCTCAGGCAGACATGCTGGCTCTGTGGACAGACAGTATGACAAACATGATTTTTCAGCCATACAGGGGGGGCAGGTCACCTCCACCGCAGCTACATGGTGTGAAGATCCACAGTCACGTGACACTGCTGTATGTAGATTTGGCAATGGCGATACGAAACAAGCCTCACCAGATCAGACAGGTATCACGAATTAGCCAAAAAGGCAGTGAGTGATAGGTGAGAATCAGTTTTTAAAACAGACAATGAAGATGAACATCCCAGAACTGGAAGTGCCGAAATGAAAACAGGATTCTGCACAGCTGAACCCACTCTGAGGGTCACAACAATTGAACATTGATTTGAAGCTGATAAAATTATTCAATTAGTTAGATCCGGAGTTCTGAACGGATTAAGTTCGAGTTCTGAGGTACCACTGTATGTTCTTATAGTGTAGTTAGAGTATGGAATAGTCTTCCTGCTAGTGTAGCACAAGCTAAAACCCTGGGGTCCTTTAAATTATAGCTAGATAAGATTTTAACAACCCTGAGCTATTAGTTAAGTTCTCCCCAAACGAGCCTGATGGGCCGGATGGCCTCCTCTCATTTGTAAATTTCTTATGTTCTCAAATCTGCTTTTTAAAATCCTGGGTTAATCCTGGTTCTGCTAGCAGAAGACTACCTGTGACACAGGTTGCTTCCAGGTTCAAAATCTCCAAGAATAAGGTGAAGCAGGAGACACTGGGAATAACCAGAAACCAGCCTGGTAAAGGGCAGAAGCAACTTTCTGATGCCAGATATGACCATCAACTTATCTGACAGTTGCTCATGAATCAGAGAATGACATCAAGTGAACTTCAAAAGGAATGAGAAACATTAAGTGCAAGTGTGAAGTGCACTGCTAAGAGAAGTTCATAACAAACTCATAGAAGCAGGACTGAAGTCCCATAAAACGAGGAAGAAGCCCTTCATTAATGAGAAACAAAGAACCAGGCTGCAGTCTGCAATATATGTATGTGTGTGTGAGCATGTTAATTATTCAGACAAACACCCATAAAATGAGATGTAAGTGAAACAAAAGATTTTGTTGCGATCTCTTAATTTTTTCCAGAGCTGTATGTTTGCATGTCTCAAAGATAAGTAAGATGGGATATGTGACAAGTAACATTCCAATGTACTGGTACTTATGAAAATGACAATTATTATTTTCAATAAAATTAAACTTTATTTCCCTCTTTTTTTGCAACAATACTATCAATTACATGTTCCATATCATACACTAAACCTGAGAAGTATACACGAATTGCAAATTTAAAAATTAGTATAACCTACAGGGGTAATTTTATAATGAGAGTATTAGTTACATTGTACTTGGTTTATACAGTCTTAAGTCATTAAGACACCACATGGTATTGTTCAGCTTGTTAAGATGGGGTTTTAATTAAAACTGTAACGTGTACAGGACTTTCAACGAGTTTGTGAAGCTCATTTGCAACCATTTTTAAATGCTGACTGAGGACATTAAAAAAAACATGATTTCAGTCCCAATTCTCATGTTATGTAATCGTAGCCGAATGCCAACACTGCCAAAAGGTATTGGAAATGACTGTCTGGCAAACCCATACCTGCCTATTTAAATTTCCTACGGACAGAATGTGGTTCAATTGGACTGAAGCAAGTCTAATCTTCCGACTCAAAAGCCCCAGGTGGAAATGCCAACTGAGGAATTGAAACTGGTCGTTTAAAAGGTAGGTGATCAGCAGATCATTCGGTTTGGGACAGGAGGCAGCTTTTTGACTGGCTACAGCAGTTCACTAACCCATTGAGATTAAGGCTAATGCATCGTATTATCGAGAGACAGGTTTCTCATAATCACGTTGAAAGCTTCAACATAAATCCAGAACGATTCCTACAGTAGTACATTCAAGGTCGACCATAAAGGAAACGCAGAATTAATACCTATCTGTGGATTCAGTGTAGTTGGGTACACACATACACACAATATTCATACGTTGAGATAGCATCCACTTGAACTTACACCTTTTAAAAGCATAACATTTTAGTGAATATCACATAAAACATCTAAAGCAGAATTTTATTCCTGGCATAACAAAAAAGGCTAAACATAGGCGCCTTTGGATAAGCAAGACATCTCGCTAAGAGCAGAATTTCGATGCGGGTTCCCTTAAACAAAAAACAGATCAATGTAACAAAAGAACGAAGAACCCCAAGTGTTTAAAGACAACCACGATTACCCAGAACTGCACAGGCATCATTTTGAAGTAGACATTCACCTTTAAAAACAAACCCTTTAGACCCAGGTCCAAACTCCTCCCTCTAACCCTAACGCTCCACCTATTACACACGTCTGAGCCAATATTGCTCGGAGCTGATTGGGTGTCAAAGGTGTCAGTCAAGAAAAATAATTATTTAAAAACTATGCAAAAAAAGCTGCAATTGGGGTTACAGTGCTGCTTTAACCAAAGTCAAATTACTGGAAAACTTATTTTTAATTTCCCATCGCAGTAACAGAAACAATGAAGAGCATTTGCAGGCAGAAGAGCGAAACACCGGCTGAAGGCTTGCATGCGTTAGTTGACGCAGATATTTTCCCCGACTCCGGTCTGCAGTCAGTTGGCAATCTGCCTAGCGCTTTCGGAAGCCATTTTCATTGGCCACATTGGCCACTAAAGACGGACTCACCTTCCCCGCAATCCGCAGCTCTCTAAGGCTCTGCTTCTGGCCCCCGATTTGTCCCGTAATCGACACGCTTCCCTCTGCCGTGCTTGTCGCAGGACGCGTATCGATGCAGTTTTGTTTTGGTAGTCCTAGGCACTGTAAAGTTTTTTTTTTTTAAATCTGAAATAATTTCAGCGAGTCAGCTGCTTCTCTCGGCTTTGACCACCATCTTTTTATTACAGGAAATGACATGGAAAACGGAAGAAAGTAACTTCTCTATAGAGGGGGACACTGTATTAAAGAAAGAGGAAAACGACCGTCATTAATTATTTCTTTTTTTAAAAAAAGGGGGGGGGGGGGGGTTATATAACGTTACCTGTGCAATTGTCCTATGCACAGTTGCATACTTACTGCAACTTCTAAAGGGACCCCTTGTACGTTATCAGTCTTTTAGATGTTTATGTTAGGAACTTTAAGTTTTCTGGTTTAGTAATCAAAGTGCTGCCCATGGAAGTTGCCCACTTTCCTCGGTGAGCGTTTCACTTAGTATTTCTTATTCAGTGTCAGAGGCCTCCACTTTCCTAGTTTGAAACCTCTTGTTAATTGGGAATTCGTCTGATGCAATTCAACGGCGAGAAAATAAATCAGACAGACACAATCCAGCACAGTTAAAAACCCTCATCACAATTTAGCGGAACTCTGCTGTTTATGAGTAACGGGTGTTACGTTTATGCACATAACTACATATACCTTAAATATATATTATTCAAATATAACAGTGAGAAGATAGGTCGTAACCAATAACACCTGAAAGGACCCAGCTTACCTTCTAAAATCGTCACTGGGTAATTTAAATACTTCATTTAAATGTTGTACTGCAATATACTGTAAATATCGTAGGGCTTTTTCTTGTCATTGCTTGTGGATTGTATTTTTGCGGTATTGACCGGGTCATTTCAAATGCAGTACATTAAAAAAAATTGTAGAACATGAACTAGGTTGAAGCAATTAAAATATAAAATACCAGCAAATGGACGATTGAGGATCTGTTTTGCCTTTATACTGTTATGCAAAGATGAAATGGATTTATGTACTATGATTTATATGTTTACCCCGAGGCCCTGATCAAAATAAGTGTTTAGGAGATTAATTGATTTGTGTATTTAATGTAGGGATTTATGTACCACTTATTATGGTGCAGATAAATAATAAATGAAAGCAAAGCAGAATGGCAATGAACTGATTGATGTACAGAGTACAGATAGATTGTGTGTGAACATTAAAACTGATTACACACCAAGCTTGATGACTGACACATTGTGATAGAGATAAGATGATAGTTATATGCTTCACAGCTTTTGCATTGGACATTCTACAGAGGCACCACAGAGAGTGTTCTGACCAGCTTCATCACTGTCTGCTTTGGGAAAGTCCAGATAAGGCTTAAGGGCCTTGCTCAGGGGCCAAATTGTGAAATTACTTTGGTGAGTCCAGGACTTGAACCACCAACCTCCTGATCACAGGCACAGTTCCACTATGACATCACCCCTTTAATGTTGCTGTATTTATTGTTTATGTAACCATTTTACTAAGCCCATAAACCTTGTGTCTAGCCCCCCTGTTTTGCCCTGTCCTGGGTTCTACACTTCAATTACTATGAAAACCCTCCTCTTGTCCTTTGCTGTTTGTTTGTTGCATGGTGCTTCTGGGTGACTGTATTTGGATGGTTTAACAATAAACTCCACTTTATTTACTATTATTGCAATGGCACTCATAATAATTCAGGGAATTTCAATTCAGATTAACAGATCCACATATTTTAATTACTAATTATAGTAGCATTTGTAGAGTAACTGGCCCACCCAATACTGTAATGACCGCTGAACCTCCTCACACAGAGCTATTTTATTTAGGTGCATAATTACACAATCATTCTGCTTACGACATGAATCATAACTGCTGGTACAGCTACAAATTCAACTTTCTTGCTTATCCTCCAGGATGACAACTGGTGTGGACCAGTTTGTCCAAGATGCCCAATTTAAACAAAACGTATCATACATGTATACGAAAAGCCTTAAGAAAAGTCTGGGTCTTCTACCTATGAGAATGAAATTCGAAAAGTTTTGAGAAATCCTAAAATAAATTTTGTACTATACTTTCTATCCAATAGGAGGTGCAATATATATATACCTTAGTACCCAATTTGTTTTCAACATATACACTCACCTAAAGGATTATTAGGAACACCATACTAATACAATGTTTGACCCCCTTTCGACCTTCAGAACTGCCTTAATTCTACGTGGCATTGATTCAACAAGGTGCTGAAAGCATTCTTTAGAAATGTTGGCCCATATTGATAGGAT